GTTGTGTCGAGAGACCATGGAGTTCCTTCTGGTTGTAGAACGACACTTTGGGGTGTGTGGTTGTTCCTGAATGGAGCAATGTCAATATGTCAATATGCGTGTATTTCAACTTGGTCATACCGTCATGAAGGGCAGCGTATGCGAAGGGGAGGAGGAGTAGGATCAACTTGCCTCCAGTCTTGAAAACAATGCCATCTTTTTGTTTTGATGTCACAACCTTACTGTTCCGACATGTGTTTGATGCCCAGAAAGACTCATGGTCTACGACGGGCAGCTCACTCAGAGACACCGACGCATCTTCAAGAGTCTTACACAGCTTCCAGGACTGGGCGTAATAAGGAGAATTCAATTTTACGAATCTGATGAAGTCTGTGAGACGTCTGGACTTGTTGCTGTCGTCCTTGGAAACCGTCATGTTGTTGGTGTAGTCAGTGCATCTAAAATCTGGGATGCTGCGATTTCAACTTCAACTCCGGGCTTCGATTAAGTACTCAGAGATGAAGTATGGCCCTCGGTCATGCCACAATAATCATCAAGCTCTCCCTCATCACTACAACGTAAACACGAATCTCACTTGCAAGCGGATAACGGCACACACAAACCGTCGGGATATCTTACTTCCTAGATCCTCGCCGCCGGAACTCGCTCTTGCGCAATTCACAAGAGTTCTGCAATGTATGCGTACAGCATATAAAGTTTCGAAATGCAGGGAGTTGCGACGGTTCTGGATGAGGCAAGAGTTGCCAGGCTGACAATTGTCAATGGGTACTACTTGCACCAAAGACAAGACAACCAGAGGGGAAGGGTTGCCCCGGATTCGGATCCTCGTAACCTCTGCTCATTTCCAGAATCCACAACGAAGCCAATTAAGCTTTTGACTGCTTCCGTTCAACGGTGCGAAGTCTCGCAATCTGAACAGGACGTGCGCCGAGGCTCCCGCTAACCCTAACCTTGCGCTCAGGCCCGGCCTCGTCAGATTGACAAAGATAGCAGATGGTGGCTGGCAGTGCGAGAGACATCATGGATGGCTCAGCCACGGAGCCGGTCGAACTCGTTCGGGAAGCTCAAAAGGAGGCGCATTGGCACATGTCAAAGGTCAAAGGGAAATGAATAACTTGTGCGTCCCTTTCTCCCGCAATCCTCCCCCCTCTTTCCGTAAAGCCCCGAGTGGGACGCGACGTTACCGCACGGTCCCATGTTTTGAACAGCTTGGGGGCGGTCTCTGAATCTGGGCAATGAGGGGAGAGGGATTGGAGAAGATGGAGAGGTTCCTGAAGCCAAAGACACCACCGTTTGGCCAATGGAGTTTGTCGAAATGCCACTCTGTCAACAAATGGAGTTCCCAGGGTCCTGTTTTGTGCTACCACCGTCTTTCTCTGCCTTGGAACTCCACGTTAAACGAGATTCAAGCTCAAACACACACAGTGGGTGTCATTTCCCACTCCGAAGCAGAGAGCAAGGGGTGCAAAAGTGTTGGGGTTGAGAACCTTTGTGTGGGTTTTTCCAAGACTTCTGTTATCCGCACGTGGAACCGGACCCTTGGAAATCTTCCATGACTAGGCCAGATTGCGTTTAGTTCTGTTTAAGCGACGAAGCCTCTTCTTGAACGTGCTAGGATCTTGCAGCAGATTAGATCCGCGTTTCTCAACACCTACCTCCCGAGTCCCCAGATACGCGTTCACCGCCCGGGACTGCTGGCTGCCTCTTTGATTGTTTCACCTTATGGTACCGAAGAAGATCTCCTAGAACTGGCGCTTCGGCCGCGAGGCCACGTTTGCGAAGGGAGACACCGAGACATTCTTCAACAGCTACGGTACTGGTTTTTGCTTTGTGCTCGACGTGTGGCTGTCATCATCGAGTCATGGAATATGCTGCGGAATATGCCCAGCCCGAGGCTCTGCGATGCTTTGGGGCAAGCCACAAGGTTAGACCCGGTGGCGAGTCACGTCTCGAGGCGGTCTCGAGCAATTCCAAACACGCGACTTTTGGCAGCAGTAAGATGAAATTTTCTGCCGCTGAGCCTAACCCCCCCAATGCATGTGGGCAAGGCAAGGCAAAGACAACTTGCCAAGGGAAGGGGGGGAAACCGAGAAAAAAAAAGCAGTCCAGACTGTTTGGACCCCTATTCCATGGATCGTCTCTCACCGTGGGTAACGACCCACCTTTAATGCTGCCGCTCCTAAAAAAAGGGTCAAGGAGACACGTCTCTCTCGTTGGCGGTCTGCTACCCGTGTCCCTTGTGAAGTCTGACTGGGAAACCTTTTTGTCTTTTCCCTAACCTCGGGCACCTGAGAAAATTTCACCCTTTTCCCCAGTCCTCTTAGCTTCAGCTTCCCTCTGGTTCCTTTCCTTTACTCATCCATAATACGGTGCGGCCCTGAGAGCGTATCGTTCTTTCCCTTTCGTTCATCTCATATTATATCCATTGAGCAATAGTGAGGTGATCCCGAACAAACCTGGTTTGCACCTTATCACACACAATGGCGACCCAACGTACCTCGTCTACCGTGGTGGTCGAGAAGCCCCAGAAGGTTAGTCGGCAAACACCTTCCGATGCGCCGCCATCGATCTCGATGACCGATCATTGATCACTGACCCTCCTCATAGAAGACCAACGAGCCTGTCTTCCCTGATATTCAGACCATCAGAGATGCCATTCCGGCTCACTGCTTCGAGCCTTCGCTCGTGACTTCCTACTACTATGTCGTCCGCGATCTCACCATGGTCGCTGGCCTGGTTTGGGCTGCTCTCACCTACATCCCCGGCATCCAGGACCCCATCCTGCGCGCCACCGCCTGGATGGTCTACGGCTTCGTCCAGGGTCTCATCTGCACCGGTGTCTGGATTCTCGGCCATGAGTGCGGCCACGGTGCCTTCTCCAAGAGCGACAAGGTGAACAACATCACCGGATGGGCTCTTCACTCCTTCCTTCTCGTCCCCTACTTCTCATGGAAGTTCTCTCACCACCGCCACCACCGCTTCACCGGTCACATGAAGAAGGACATGGCCTTCGTTCCTGCTACTGCTCCCAAGCCCTCCAAGAAGCCCTTGTTCGGTAGCATCGACCTTCACGAGCTCTTCGAGGACACGCCCATTGCCCAGGCCATCAATCTGCTCACCCACCAGCTTTTCGGATGGCAGGCGTACCTCTTCTTCAATGCCACCGCCGGCAAGGGTAGCTTGCAGCGTGAGGTCAACGGTCTCGGACGTTGGTTGGGCGTCAGCCACTTCGGCCCCACCAGTGCCGTCTTCCGTCCCAATGAGGCCATCTTCATTGCCATCTCTGATATTGGCCTGGCCATCACCTTCTCCGCCCTGTACTATGCTTCCACCATCCTCGACGTCTCCACCGTCGCCCTCCTCTACGCGGTCCCCTACTTCTGGGTCCACCACTGGCTCGGTACGCACCCCCTTCCCCCTCACTTATGATCCTTGAAGCTTGGCCTTTGAGTTTCACAAGCAAATGTGTTTATCATGGTGCTAATAAACCCCTTAGTTGCCATCACTTACCTCCACCACAACCACCCTGAGGTCCACCACTACACCGAGGAGGGCTGGACTTTCGTCAAGGGTGCCATTGCCACCGTCGACCGTGAGTTCGGCTTCATCGGCAAGCACCTCTTCCACGGCATCATTGAGAAGCACGTCGTTCATCACCTGTTCCCGTAAGCTTGACCTCCCATGAAGAATTTCTCAAGCCAGCGCTAACAGATTCCAGTCGCATTCCTTTCTACAAGGCTGACGAGGCTACTGAGGCCATCAAGCCTGTTCTTGGTGACCTGTACAACCACGATGGCCGCAGCTTCCTCGGCCAGCTCTGGTCCGTTTTCGGCACTCTCAAGTACGTCGAGAACGACCCTAACTGCCCCGGCGCCATGAGATGGGCCAAATAGAGGGTAATTGCTGTACAAAATACAACACCGTTTTCTTTAGACGGACATAAAGAGACATAGAGGACATAGACATTTTTAGACTCAAAGACCGCAGAGTCAAAGCTTGATAGAGCGGAAGCGCGTATGGAGTTTAGAGGCAAGGGGGAATAGACCAAAAGTTCTAGACCAAATGGCAGGGCCAAGGCTCAGAACTCTTTTGAAACTGCATCTCCACCGTGAACAAGGCACAGTCTGGTCGTTCACCATAATGTGAGGCATTCATATTTAAGGTTCTAGTGATGACAGACGCGTTAAAGCTGATGAGTACTTTGGGAAATAGGCGACCTTGTCAAATAGTTTCCTGAATAGGAAGGGAAGTACCGCGAGATACCGCGAGATAACTCAAAATGAGTAATGTGGGATTACACTCGAACAGAGTTTACACCAAGCACATCAGATTTGGGGATCGAGTGCAACCTATCTCCATGTTCCCGCTTAGCTTGCATGACACGCGAATTTCCGCCAAGGAGTAGCCCAGTCAATGGGAGTATACCACTCTGGACCATCCGATTCGCGCTTGCGTCGTCTCTTGGGTGCCACGTTGGCGAACTTGCTTGTTCCCAGACCGAGAGGAAAGCGCAGCAAGCCCAGCTCCCTGGGCTCCCATCGCGTGAGTTAATATAATAGAGTTTACACAGCTTGAAACAGTGCGCGCAGCATATTCACGACAGCCTCGCAGGCTGGCGATGGCTACATGTACATTTGAACTGAGTCGTGCGAGTCAAAGGAGCTTTCGACTATTGTGCAAGTCCAGCCACGTACCGTACGTAGTCTCCGGTCTGGGCTGGCTTGCGCAACTTCTCAGCAGGACGCACCGGAGCGAGCAGGGGGTCTGGATTACGAAAGAGCTCTCACAGACTTGTGTGTGTTCGTCTTATATCATCCCGAGGAGATGGCTCCAGGTCTCATGTGATAGAAGATCATTGTCCGCTTCCTGTGAAAGACTGTTATGTACTTCTGTTCTCTTGTTGTCTCAAACCTGTCATCTCATCATTCATCAGTCATTCATTTGTGACAAAGCATTGCTAGTATCTTGCCCTGATCAAGTCGATCAACAACGGCGACAATATGGCGTCGGCTTACATACTCGCCATCTACTTCTTAGTTGTAGTCCTCGGCGGTCTTCAACTCAAACAGAAGATCAAGGCTCTCAAGTCTCCTCTGAGGAAACTCCCTGGGCCGTGGTATGCTCCTCTCACGACATTGCATCTACGCTATCTCTTCTCAACCGGTACCATCTGGAAGTTGGTAGAGAAAAGCCACAACAAGTATGGGACAATTGTCCGACTCGGTCCTCGACAGGTCTGGATCTCCGACAAAGAGGCCATGAAGCAGATTTTGGTCAAGACGGACCTTCCCAAAGTTGCCATGTATGCCGAAATCTCCAGAGACAAGTTCAGTCCCGGACTGTTTGGCGAGATGTAAGTCGTTCCCTATTTTCTGCCCGCAATATGCACTTGCAACATGAGCCTAACCCAACGCCTTTGGAAAAAGTCGTCAAGAGCCGCACAGGCGCCTTAAGCGATTCTTGTCTCCGGCGTTTACGGTCAACTACATTGATAACCTTGAGATGTTCTTCAAGAGCACTGTTCGCGATGTCCTGAACAAGTACCAGACGCAGATCAACGAGGATCCGGTATACCATGCAAAGAAGGGTATCGAAGTCGACTTGATGGACGACCTTCATAACGTGGCCCTTGACATGTAAGCCAATAATTCCGCATACATCTCGGTTTCTCTTGCGCATCTTCTTACTTGGGTAACAGTATGGGAGAGTGTTCATTCGGCAAGGGGTTTGGACAGACCAACCCCGACAGCTTAATCGAAGATGGAGTCGACGAGAAAATCTGGAAGTCTATCCCCCGCTCCATTTTTGATGGTCTCAGCAAGCGATACCAGGTAAGTCGATCCTGAATTGCAAATGGAATATCTCGTTCTCTTAAAAGCTAACTTGTGCAAAGACTGTATACGTCAAGAAATTCTTCCGAGCCCTGGGAATCGACCTACAATTCGACTGGCCCGCCGAGATGATCACAGCAATTGACGCCGTGGTCCAACGACGCAAGCGCACCTCGGACGTCGAGCGCCGAGACCTCCTCCAGCACCTCATCGAAGAGGGCAAAAAGCCAGACACTGGCACCAGCATGTCTGCCCGCGATATTGTCGACCAAATGGCCGAGATCCTCCTTGCCGGTTCCGAGACAACATCCGGCACCATCGGCTGCCTCTTCCTTGAGCTTGCCCGTAACCCCGACGTCCGCGCCAAGTTGTTTGCCTCTCTCCCGTCCAAGGGCTTCAACGACGAGATTGTGACTAGCAAATCGGTTCGCAACGAGGAGGAATACGAGTATCTCGAGGCCTGCATCAAGGAGAACCTTCGCTTGCATCCCATTGCATCGGAGATGGGCCGCCGCACTGGCAACCAGTGGATCAACCTCTGTGGCTATGATCTGCCGCCTCACACTGTAGTCTCGGCTTCGTACCGCGATCTACACCGCAACGAGGCTTTCTGGCCCCAGGCAGAACGGTTTTGGCCCGAGAGGTGGCTATCGAATGACAAGCGAGACGGGGCACCCGCACCTGAGTACGTCTCATTGCTTCCCTCCCGAGTACACAGTCTTGGTAAGGAATCTAACAAAGCCTCTAGTATGGACGCGTACTACCCCTTTTCTGGAGGCAAGCATTCGTGCATTGGTATCAAGTAAGCTAAGCTGCAGAGCATTCCGTTATTGTCCGGCGACTGTGCTAATGGAGGCGACAAAGTTTTGCGTGGGCCGAGATGAGAATGGTTGCCGCCAATCTCCTACAAAGATTTGATGTGCTCGAAGTTCCGGGTCAAGACATAGACTTCCGCCAGTACATCACCATGCAGTTTGCTACTGGTCACTGGAAAGTTGTTCTCAAGCCGAGGAACTGAGTACAGGTCACCAGACTCTTACGACGAAACGTTCACAACGCATGACTTTTGGCATTCAGATTGGAAAGTATTTCACGTTTGGTCTCTCTGGAACGGAGTAGCGGGGCTTGAGATAGTAAGAAATGCGTTCAAGCGATTGCTTTTTGGAACAACTGAGTTCAAGGCATCGATCTACGGGAAACCTACGATCTAGAGACGACGGAGATTGAATAACATTGAGTGGTTGCATTGAAGGTGCGTAAGAGTTGAAGAATCAACTAGTCTGTGTCTTGCGGAACTTGGCCAACCCCTTGAGTCCCTGGGAGCGGTTATCACGGAAAAAAGACTTTGTCTGAGAGACTGCAAGAATCAACGCTCCCACCGGCTATGTTGCATTCAACAGCTCGGGGAGACTAGGACAGGAAGAACTTGCAAAGTACCCCAGTCCCAGCAATCACCACCAGCTTAACGACGTCGAGGGGGTTCTGGGACACTATGTGGCGGGAAAACTCCGTTCATAAGACAGTAACCATGTTCCATTCTGCAACGAAATGCATGTGAAAAGCTTATTCGTGAAGGATTTTACAAAGTGCGAGCGATTTATCTGCCCTGATTACACCCCCATCATGGGTCTGTTGCATGCTATACCGACGGACCGACGTTGACGTCTCAGTAGCATGGACCCGGTTGATTCGGCGTGGAGCAAGCAAATGGCACCAGAAAGCTTATTTCATGTCCACAGTGGGGTAGTTAATACGAGACATATTGATCGAGCCAGAGGTCGCGCGGGGGTAGGGGGCCTGGAGAAGATGACCGTCGGCATAGTCCGCTCGATATCTTTTGGGTACAGGATTTCTCCACTCAGTGGGGGAGACGATTTCGAGAGACTCGGAAGTTGGGAGGGGCTTCGGCATCGAAATTGGGCCCGAGGAGACCAGATCTTACCCAGAGGCAGAAGAACCGGGATCGAGATGTTGAGGACAGCTGTGCATTGGGATCCTAGTTTACCTACCTAAGTTAGGTAGCTGATCAATGACGACCGAGTCATTTGCTTTATGACCGGCTTTGATTATGAATACCATGGAGCCACCGCGGCGAAGGAATCGTTCTAAGAGCCGAAGAAAGAACCTTAAGGATAGGAAGGGCATAACGACGGAGTATGCTGTGTCTTCAATGGAGCTTGAGTCAAAGATGTAGATCCATCCTATTTACTAACTTCAGCCGGTCTGCGCGCATCGCGTCTGCATGTCTCTAGCACAGATATGGAATCAAGCCCGGACATCTGGAAGGACCAAAGTAATTACCCCACGCAAGGGTCACTGGTTCAAAGATCTCAAGTTCTAGTCTCGCATAAATCGTTCCAAGATCAACTCGAGTAAGCACATGGTCTAAGCTTTGAACAACTTAGTAGGAGCCTTTATTCTGGGAAGGTCCATCGCTTTGGCCTGATTATGTAGCCGACGGGTTACCTTGCATCTTTGGCATTAATCAGCCATTAGAGTTCCTACGTCGATGGCGGGATATGTGCCAATGATGCAACCCAAAACTGTAGAATCAGCAGACTCAATCTAGCATAATACCCAAGTCTAACTCTTCTATTTCATCTGATTTCTTTTCAATTTTTTTTTAATCTTTCTTGAGTTTCAAAATATTGATGGAAGCTTTTGAATGACAACGCTACAAGCACTCCGCGCTAATTTGGTTAGTGGACATCGGCAAGATTGTCGTTGTATTCAAGCTCATGCATTTCATCTTGCAATCTGAAGCTATGAATGCAGGAGCCACTTACTCAAGATTATCTTAGAATCTTGTTGAATGGTACTTATACAGAGTATAGGCAAGATAGAGATAGAAATAGGGGCTTTACAAGTCTCAATTTGTTTATACGTACACTAAAACTATCGGATGATATCCTACTGCTGCTGAGGTATGAGCGTGCAATCATACCCTCTAGACTAGCGAGCACTCTACCATGGTAGTGATTGTGCGAAATTGGAAGAACCGGCTGATTCTCAAACCTGCTTTCCCAAGAATCAACTCGAGGTCTGGCACCGATCTCTCCTTACCGCCGAAGAAGAACAAAGTATTCCATATCATCAAGTTGGCAAGGTCCGGAAGCCTTGACTGCTGGCGAGGTGTCAGAGTAGACGGGGCCGCATCATGATTGCTGACGATGAGTGGACTTGAGTTCCAGATCTCGTTGATCACCATTCGTGAGCCTGGAGTTTTTCTCATAGAGTTCGCAACTTTGGTAAGTATCTTGATAGCGTCTTCGTCATCATACTCACGTCTAAGAGTTGTCAGAACGCTATAGCGGTGCGGCTCATACCATGTTCAGATACTACTCACAGAACTCCTCTGAGATACCATATGTCACCCTCAGCTACATTGTCTTCGAAGTAGTCCTGTACGACACATTCGACTTTCCCTTCGGCAGCTCTTTGTGCAATATCCTCGGGCAGATTCTGCTTGAGACGTCAATACAGGCTTAAGTTCTAAGCCACGTGCAACTCACAGTCTTCAGGCTCTCGATGGCGGGCTGAAGGTCCTGAAAGGTCCAATGAAGCTCCGGATTATGCCTCATGATGTCAAATCCGCTGTCACCTGGTCCGCACCCAACATCCACAACTCGAGCTTTGGGCTTTTTATGCCAGGGGTAGTCATTGAGAAGCGCTGGCCTAGTTGTCCTCTATAACGGACGTATCAATAAGCCTAAGTCAGATTTGATGGCATGTATACTGGGGCACACTCACATTCAGCCATGGTACAACACCCTTGACCACCTTAAGCGCAGCCCTGGCGTTCTCGGGATGGCCAATATGTTCGAAGAATGTTTCGCCATTCTGTGCCACTGTAGAACAAAAAGGAGCATCTGTGGCCAGATAAGAGTCTTTGGTCTTGGTGTCTGTCATATGAGACAGCAGACCTGCAGAGCTCCTCAAGCCCTCGTCCGCTCTTCGCTTGTTAGATCACTGATAATGGACACCCAGGGCCGTGATTGGAGCTTACAAGAGGGACAGGAATTGAGCAGCACTGCCTTCCTTTTCGAGAGTCTTACTATGTCGCGTATTGCTGAAAACATCTGGCTTCTTTTCTTGGTAGATATACTCAGTAGTCAATGTCCTCAAGACCCTTCCTGGAATGATGATTAGTGGACTTTGGACGTTAGAAGCGGCGTAGGACAGGCTGCTTATGTACCTAGTTTCTGCTCATTGACATTCAGTCGGCGAGCTAAATCCTCAAGCTTCGCATCACCCCCAAGATCTTTGATCGCATCGGTGATACCAAGGGACACTGCCACATTGAGTGCACTCGTCCGCGCTGGTTGCAAACCCATCTCAAGCAGCTTGATGTGGTTGGGTGTAACTGCTGCATCGAGAGCGCGAACGTCTACGCGGATCTTCTCAATAGCCTCAAATGCTTGCCAAGAGATCAAATGCTCGGGGTCGTCAAACTTTGTAGAAGCTTTTGAGTCCCACACTTGGGGGGTTCCTAAGTCGTGTTGTTGGACCTCATGTTCGAGAACAGCAATGTTGTCCCGCAGAGATTGAAGAAGGTTTTGGAGGAAGGACATGATTGATGTACAGGGTCTTCCGGAACCAGGTGAGTTGGGATATTTACTATAGCAAGGAAACTCGAATGCTCTTTCATCAGGCCGACGACGCCATCTATTCATGTACCCAAAGACTTCCTGTGCATGTGGAGGGGGCAAACCAATGCCTTGTGGGGTAGAACGGCTACCCCACAAGGCATGTAAGTCAACAACTTCGAATGGCTTGTTTGAAGATGGTTTAAAGCAACATCGAAGGACCACTCTGGAGCTAAATTCGACATCAGATCTCATCGCTTCTTTGTGTTTGACCCCTTTCCGTCAGTATCAATTCCCCTAAACTCCTTCCTCATGGCTCATCCCTTGAAAGTCACGATTGTTGGCGCAGGCCTTGGAGGTCTAGCATGCGGCATCGCGTGTCGTCGTCAAGGCTATAATGTCTTGATAGTTGATCAACTGAAAGAATTCCTACGGCTTGGGGATAGTATCGGATTTGGTTCAAATTCGGCAAGGCTTCTTTATCGTTGGGGGGTCGGTTACAAGATGGAGCCAATTGCAAGTCAAAGTACCGAGATGCGCATCTATAACTTCGATTCTTCCGACAAAGTCCTTGGTATCGACGACCAGATTGGCAAATCCGTGGAGAATTACGGGTGCCGCCAAATCATCGGTCACAGGGGCGACTTCCACCTCATCATGAAGGACTTCGCTCTTGAACAGGGTGTCAAAATCCGGCTTGGCGAGCGAGTCGAAGTCTACGATCCCAGTCAACCTAGCATAACCCTTTCCTCAGGAGAAAAAATTCAGTCAGATGTCGTCATCATCGCGGACGGCGTCAGAAGCAAGGGACGCGCGACTGTGCTGGGTTATGAAGATAAACCTCAAGCAAGCGGATACGCCATCTACCGGTCGTTCATGAGCGGTGACCTTCTTCGCGATGACCCTTTGACCCGCAAATTCCTCAGCGATGGGGATACAATCCGATTGTTTCTGGCCAAAGACTCGCATGGGTTCATTAGCACTCTGCAGGGTGGGAAAGAGATCAATGCGGTCTTGACTCACAAAGACGTCGGCGACGTCGCGGAGAGTTGGACTAAAGAGGCCACCAAAGAAGATGTACTGGCATGTTTAGAAGGATGGGATCCTGCTGTCAGAAGAGTGTGGGAAAAGATGCCTTCAGTCATTGACTGGAAGCTCGTGTACCGCCCTTGCCTCGACAAATGGGTCGCAGACTCCGCACTAGTTACGTTGATGGGAGATGCTGCACACCCCTTTCTTCCCACTTCGACTCAAGGTGCAAGCCAAGCCATCGAAGACGGAGCCACCATAGCCAAATGTCTCTCAAAATGCGCAGGCAATATCCCCTTGGCCCTGCACACCTACTTCGAAATCCGACACGACTACGTTGCTGAAGCACAGGCGACTGGGATCAAGCAGAGAGAAATATGGCACAACTTGCACGATGAGGACAGCAATGGTTTCAAGGAGGAATTTGATATCAACGCAACCATGATGCAGAATCTCTATCTTTGGAAAAATGATGCCGAAAGATTGGTCGATGAGAAGTGGGATGAGGTGTCAGAGATTATCAAGCAGAGGCTTAACGTTAGCAGTTGTTGACAGAGCGGACTAGACTTAATGTACTTGTATGTAGTCGTCGCAAACAAGGCATTGAATCAATTATCTATGTCACACTAACTCGTGCTCTGATCATATGATGCCATGGAAATTTTATTCGCGTCAAGATTGACTGCTAAGATGAGTAAATGAGTAAAAGATCTCCTCATCAACAGTCTCAGATTTCGACTTGACCCAAGTACCAAGGCTGGAGGGATTAGCGGTGACTGACTTCCGGCCAACTTCCGGCCAACCCGCGCAAACACACTGCTGCAAAGCCGAGACATTAGCGACAAGTAGTTTCCTAGGCATCTTGCAATGCAAGAACAGCAGCCCTTCAGAAAGCGCCCCATCTATCCGTACGGATACACCTGTTGAGTCAGGCCTGAATCAGCACCGCCTACCTACAGCAAGTCCTAGCGTCACGGATCCCCGCAAACTCCATGTCCGTTCCTTCAGTTGCCGAAAGCGATGAAGACAACTTCCATCTTTTCTGATTCGCCAGTAACATCCCTACTTACATTTGCATCTGGGAGGAGAGATGAGGACGACAGAAGAGACGGGACAGAAGCTGTGTTAGCGGAAATGAGTCGCCAACGAGACACCGCCCGGGCGTCTCCACGAGAGACGAAGAAGTCGGCCTTTAGGCGGGGAGTAAGAAGCTGTGAGCACCGGTCCGCCTCTTTTGGTGACGTAAGAGCTGTCTGCTAATACACTCTAAACATGAAGCAAGTGAAGATGGCCAAGCACAGCCGGGACGTCCGCGTCCACATACGTGCACCTATTGCCAGAAAACATTTATCAGGGCGGAGCATCTGATACGACACGTTGCATCACGTAAGGTGGACTGGTCAACTCATCCGTCGCGTCGTTCAGCTAACGCTCGGGACTAGATGAGAATCGGAAGCCATTCAAATGTCCCCCCTGCGGTGCTAGTTTTGGCAGAACGGATGTCCTGCGTCGACATCAAAAGAAGTGCCCAGGGAAACCTCCTCAAGGTTCGCCGAGGTTGCAACATGAAGAGAGCCGCATCCAGACCTCAACAGAAAACGATTCTCAAGTGACCGTAGACGATGCTTTGATGTAAGTCAGGAATGAAGTGCATTCAAGTCCCGGCCATAAGAACTTACAGGGGATTCTCAGGCTGGAAGCCAACTGTCGGCCAGTTGATCACAATCAGCAACAAAGTAAAGGTCTGATTGCTGCGGAGAATTCTGATGTTATTCGGAGCCAAACAGATGAGATCAGCATTGTGCATCTGGCTGTGTCTCAGTCCGGTGGTTCTAGTCATGATGCCATCGTAGTTCGCCAATCAGGAGATGAAGATACCGCCGAATCCGAGTTGAGCTCGCCTCTATCGAACGCGGATCAGGGTCTTGCCATAAGCAAGGCTCATGTTGCTCCGGATACCACCATCTCCGCTCAGCAAGTTAACGAGATAGATCGACTCAACCAAACAGCCTCTCTAGATAACCCCGAATCCACTACATCTGAGAACAATCCTGGCTCAGGAGAACAGCATGTCGATATCCCCGACTTTTTGATGCTTGGGGACACATTCATATCTGAGATCAACCCGGGCGATTTCGACATGAGGGGCGTCACAGACTTGATGTTTGACTTTAATGCCAACACCGTCATCTCACCCCCTTCTGAAGACACATGCATCCTCTTAGACCCAAGTCGGCATGTGGTACCAGTCTCACTATTCTTCGACGCTCCCGAGAGCCTACCTCAATACCGACCTTCCCGTGACACACCGCATCTTTTCAGATGCTCCGACGACGATGCTATTGCAGTCAACAACGCTTTCGCCAAGGCAAAGGGCAATACAATCAGTACCTCAGACACTGGCTGTCTAAGTCACAGTCAGATTTTACGTTGGATCAATGCGTACTTCGAGCACTTTGACATACATACGCCCATAGTGCATCGCTCGACCTTCATTATTTCGGCTACTCCAGGTAGGCAACACAGCCAGCAGTCAGGAAAGAGACCTAGCTAACTGGTTGCCACGCCATCTTGCAGCATCTTTGCTTTTGGCGATGCTGGCCATCGGTGGCTGTATTGTATCAGAGCATGGTCCTGCCTCTAAGGCCTATGAAGCTTCCTGCCATCTCCTAGCTCAGGTGCGTACCTCAACGTTTGCGTCTTTTGTCTGTCAGTGCTAGGTTCTGATTCTGTCCCCAGTACGAGCAAGATCTCTTGCAGAGCTCTATTTCAGAATTGTGGCCGATACAGACTGCCCTTTTATGTATTCAATTCGGAGCCTTTTCAGCTAACTCCAGGTATACGCGACAAGCGCAACGACAATTCTCGCTTGTGACAGATGTAAGTTAGGCGCTTTTGATACGGCTCTGGGATACTCTAATAGTCACCTCGTACTGATACTTTGAAGTTATTGCGCGCGGTAGAAATTCAAGTTCGCGGGGTCCAGTCAGCTCAGGAGTCGGACTGGAAGGACTGGATCTTCATTGAGACGCTAAGCAGGTCAGTGACAGTGAGCATCTGGTACTCCATCGATGCAATACGACATCTAACTACCCGCATTTCTATACACAGACTCGCAAGCTGGACTTGCATTCTGAACGCTGCCATATCGCTCCTCGACCCTGAATCAACATGTATCGCAGCGCCTCAAGTTACAGCTGAAATGATCGTACCCTCAAACGACAGCCTCTGGCGAGCACCGTCAGCCAAAGAATGGGCCCATAACAAAGAATGGCAGGCATACAAGCCAGTGAATCTCGTCGAAACCTCGAGACGAGTCTTCACTGGCGAGTTCCCCGCGGTACCCATGAGCTCGTTCGGACTCCTCACGTTGATCGGTGCTCTCGTAGCCAACATTTGTGCCAGAGAACGGTACTCTCCTGAAATGGCCCCCATCCTTGACCGTGAGTACTGTGCAAAGATGGAGAGGAGCCTTCAAGCATGGGAGACTCTATGGCGCAGTCACCCTCACGCTGAAGGCACGCATAGCATAAAGAGCGATCCCTTGATGTCGGACTGTCTGTCTCTGCTCAACTCTGCCCACCATCATCTGTATATGGGACAGGAACTCCAGATTTTGAAGAGAATTGCTAAAGAACCTGAATGTCATCTGGCAGTCCCCAATATTCCAACTGATAAGAAGATTCTGGTTGTCATCAAGTACGCTGCAACTTCTTGGTTGGCGGATACCGTAACAGGCGCCGCTCATAGGCAGCGGAAGGCGGCATTCGAATTCGGTGGGCTTGGTCCAATGGTCGCATACGAGACTGGTAAGCAATCATGTTCCGGATCGTCATCTCAAGAGTTGAGCAGCTGATGAGTGACATGTTCGTCCTTCTCCGCTTAGCGCTGATTATCTCATGGTGGCTGAGTCTTCGGCAAAGTCTCACATTACCACCTTCTGCCTCTGTGCTAGAGGGAGAGAAAGAAAGCTTGGAAGCCATCGACCACTTGTTTCAAGACATTCTGAAGGAGCTAGATGAGCAGTGCATCTCGTTCGATGGAGACCGTTCGGATCTAGTTTCCCGAGCCCTGTTTCACTACCGAGTGTTGTTGGGGCAGTGGGTGTGGCCTTGTGAGTACTTTTGTTTCCCCTGTTTTTCTCGCTTATCTATTTGCTAAGCCACGCTCGACGCGTAGACACGAATGCCATGAACCACGCCCTGCAAGCCTTTGCATCTCGATTGTGCCAGGGAGAAGTCTGACATTTCGCGTCATAACGGCACGGCTCTCGCGGAAAGCTTGGCAATGGGGTAGCTGTTCAATCCGTGGAGGCGCAGAAAGACTACCTATGATGTGGGGTGACGGATGCATCCGTAGTAAAAGGCACCACGGACTGCGGATTGGTCCGGCTGACTGGTTCCTGAGCAAAAGTTCCCAACGGTTTTCACAACCATCAGAAATACCCATGCTGAAACATGGCATAGGATCCATGAAATGACAGGTTCAGTTCACAAGCAGTTCCGAAGGATCAAAAAACGAAAACAATGAACGAATCGGCATCTTTGCTGGTCTCTCTATCCACTTGAGTTGGTGGGATAGCGGACAGTTGAACGGACTCTAGGTGGTAGAACACAAGTATCAACCGATGGCTTCAGCTTGTCAGGGTGCGCTAAGACTTGTGTTTCCAGAACAAGCTTATTTTCGCAGAAGAAGCCACCATTCATCTTATCGAGAAGGCTGAGTTGGATGACAGAGAAGGCTGTCGAACTAGACATTCAGCTGGTCATGGGGAAACAATCGGATGATATCGATCTCGACACTCCAGATCATTTCAGGGGCTGTGCTTCAGGCTTTCGAGATGCCGAAATCGGGTTCAGCTCAACATCATGCTCCTGTCAGTGTAGTCCAATCTGTGTATATATGAAATCTACGACCTCAACTGTTCAAGTGCCCGAGGTTTAAAGTGACAAGTCTTGTTATCATATCAACACAGTACTGCATCTATCATTTGAATCTCATACTTTGAATATCTCCATTCATTTACATCTACACTCTCTGTTTGGGAGCAACAAGTTTCGGTATTCGCGATGGCATACCCTGAGAATGTTGGCATCCAAGCCATGGAAATTTACGTCCCTGGACAGGTGCGCATCTCTTTCTACAATTTCCTATATTACCTATTACAGCTGATGGCAATCACTCCAGTGCTTGGATCAGTCTCTCTTCGAGCAGCACCAAGGCGTCTCGGCGGGTAAATACACCATTGGCTTGGGCCTCAAATACATGAACTTCTGCAACGACCGTGAGGGTAAGTTACTCCCCGTCCGAGGTACTCTAACTGCGGCAGGGTTCTGTGGTCTGGCCTGGCGTCTTCCATATCAGCGATAGCTACTGACCAGCTTAGATGCATCTTCCATGGCTCTCACTGCTGTATCTTCGCTCATGCGAAAGTATAATATCGACCCCAACTCGATCGGTCGCCTCGAAGTTGGCACAGAGTCCTTGATCGATAAAGCCAAGTCTGTCAAGACAGTGCTGACCCAGCTCTTCGAGCCTGCTGGGAACACCAGCCTGGAGGGCATCGACACCATTAACGCATGCTACGGTGGCACGAGCGCCTTATTCAACGCCGTCAACTGGGTCGAGTCCCGATCGTGGGACGGCCGCAACGCTATCGTTGTGGCGTCCGATATTGCTTTGTACAACGAGCCCGCCTCTCGGCCCACGGGCGGTGCCGGTTGTGTTGCTATGCTCGTGGGCCCTGATGCGCTGCTTTCGATGGAGCCGGCGCTCAAGGGAACCTTCATGACCCATGCTTACGACTTCTACAAGCCTGATCTCAAGGCAGAGTTCCCTCTGGTCAATGGACATGAGTCGCTTCGGTCGTACATGTCGGCGCTGGATGGTTGCTACCAACGTCTCCGTGAGAAGGTGGATGCAGCAAACCAACGCACGAACGGGCTTGGGCCGAAAACTGATACTAACAATCTGTTGAACATATTCGACTACATGGCATTCCACACCCCTAACTGCAAGATTGTAAGCAAATCGTACGGACGACTGCTCTACAACGACTTCCGACTGGACAGCGACAAGAGCAGGTGGGAGGCGACGTTGTCTGAAGAGCTCCGCGGGCTCAGCTACGAGGAGTCTCTGAAGAGCAAAGAACTTGAAAAGATCTTTGTCAACCAGTCCAAGGATCTCTTCAGAGCGAGAGTCGAGCCATGCATTGCCGCTCCCACTCTATGCGGCAACATGTACACGGCTAGTCTGTACTGTTCTCTCATCAGCTTGATCAGCAACATCGATCTAAGAGACAGTGTCGGGAAGACTATCGGCATGTTCAGTGTAAGTCTTGTATTATCCATGTGTGAGGACTCTGTTGACAAGAGACGTGGGATTAGTATGGCAGCGGTATCGCCAGCACTCTCTATGCGCTCAAAATTACGGGAGATCTCAGCGAGATGGTCCAGAAGATTGATCTCATGAAGCGTCTCAAGCAACGTGAGATTTGTACGCCTCAGCAGTATGAAGAGGTGAGAATAATCCTGATCTAATGCTGTTGCGAACTGTCACTCACCACCGATTCGAAGGCCTGCTCTCTCAGATTGAAGGCGTATGGCGCCAAAGGCTATGAGCCTGCCGGAAACATCGAGGTCATGGCTCCCGGGACGTACTATCTGGAGAGAGTTGATGATGTTTACCGCAGGTTCTATGCTGTCAAGCCATGAGCTTCCATACTTGTTAACCTCAGCTCATGTCTCGGAGCGTTTCTGCCACGACTTTAGTAGAGCCTTAGTGTATAAGGGGAGGATTCTGCATAGAAAACGAATGAAGATAGAGTTCCAATCGTTTCATGAAGCTTTGGTTTCTGTCTTCTCTTCCTCGGCCGCTGCGATATCCTCATCGCCTTTCTTCCAGCGGTATTCCTTCTCAATGCCTAATTCCCTTTGCGCTGTGTCACAGAGCTTCGCGTTCCCACAGCCGCAATTAGCCGGCTCCCTGATCCACCGATACGTGATACTCCACCGATCTCCCCTCTTCCGCACCGTTCCATCAGGCAACGTGTCCGTCTTTCGCTTCCTGATGCCATGCTTCCAATGTAGCCTCGAGTCTCCCGACATCTGTAACATGCTCCTCGGCGTAAGGTCTACCTCCACTATCCTTCCTTCCTCGCCTTCGTCTGGAGGCAATGCGAACTGCATCATGACTGGCGATCCCAGAGACAGCGCATATAACTGATCATATGCGGAATGAGTATCGACATGGGGCGGGATACCGGCGCCTGGTGGGTAGTGTTGCAGACAAACTTGGTCCGGTGGTCTGCCCTCGCGTATGGGAATCAACGGCTCCAGCCAGTCCGGAAAAGGGTTGAAAGGAATGTTGGGGTCCACGCCGAATGTTTTGTAGTCAAAGGTATAGCCGTAATGAAGAGACAGTCGCCCGGATCGATCTGGCCATGAGAGCTCGTTGCGAAAAATGTGTATTAACTTTTCCTCATGCTCGGCTGTGATGAAGTCGTCTTGCCAGAAGATGCCCGAGGGCTGAATTGGTAGTTCATTCATTACGAAAGCTGTAGCGCCATGCAATGCCGTTCGTCGTGCCAGTGGTAATGAGTAAGAGTTGTTGAATAACAAAAGTGGCTGAGATGATGTTGAATCCGAATTTGACTCAGCGGCAAAAGTCGTCCAGTGTGGCACCACCACGGAACCAAAGTGGGGCACGTGCGTGAAATCATGGCGGCTACGGATGGGAAAGAGAAGACTCATTCTTAGATCGTCAGCCACGGGAATTGCACTCAAAAATCACTTACAACAGCCACGAGAAGAGTCCTAGAAGTGAGTTTGTTGCGAAATCAATACTCGGTATCAATAACATGTTTCTCAAGAGTCCGCCAATAACACCGCCATGGAGGTGACAATGGTTTCTGTCGCTGATGACAATCCCAGAACGTGGAAGGAAGCCTCAATGGTCACAACCACTCTAGCTACCGTCGATGAGAGCTTCGATGTCTGCAGATGAGTTCCTTGGCAAAGAAAACGCTTCTCGTTGGGTTGAAAGCTGCATGTGACTGTGACTGTCACTGAATACAAGGGGTGGGGTTATTTTCTTTGCTGTTGCGGACAGCGGGGTAGAAAGAATGGAATGCAAAACACTCAAGAAGCATGCCAGATGTCGTGCATACATCAGCATTAGATTCATGGACTTGAGAGCCATACTGGTATGGGAAGCTGCTTCCGGTTGGTCATTAAATGTGAGGGGTGCCCAAATAATTACTCAAGTGATGATAAGAGTGAATCGATCGGGTCCTACAAGCATTGCCGACATCCCGTGTCGTGGATGAAACAGTTCTGAAGCTTGATTCCCAGCTGTGCCTTACTAGACACGGCAAGCCCACTGCTAATCAAGTTTAAGACGAATGACGGGATGAACGATACACAAACGCAGAGCACAGATGGGGAGGCAAGCTTAAGTAGGTTTTAAAGGATGAGTTTTTTGATGTCGCATTAAGCAGCAGACACTAGGTATATGTGTGGGTAGGTAGGGGGACTAGATTTATGTAACCGTTCCGTTGAACAAGGCGTCCCTTTAAACTAACCGTCTTGTTCGTTAACGCTTTTTCCCATATCCCGAGAAATCTGCACAAATGTCCAAAGCAGAAAAAACTGGAGGTGGGCACAAGGGGCAATGGCAAATAGGCCGCACCATCCAAACTATGTGCCCCGAAAGAAAAGAGGTATCCCATGCGCCGTCAAGAAGCTCTGAAGATTAAGGAAAACATCCATTACTGGGCTTCGTCATCGTGGCGAGGTTTTTTGAGTGGGTTGTGTGAGATGACCCCCTTTCCCCGACGAAAAACTCACCCCAGGCAAGGGAAGAAGACTGGAACCAGACGGAAGAAAAGGATGAACCTTTCTTACGTGGAGAACTTGTCGCCGAGGGTGACGTCCAGGTGGCCCTTGTAGTAGCCCTTGCAGCCGATGCCATCCTCAGCCTCCATGCCGGGCATGTAGGCGCCCTCGTTGGTGCCGTCAGACTTGACCCAGGAGCAGGTCTTGCCGTTGGCGGCGACCTTCATGCCGTAGTAAGACATGCTCTGGGAGCCGGCGACGAGGACGGAGGCGTCGGCACCGGAGTTGCCGCCGTTGGGGGTGGAGGCCCAGTCGAACTCGAGCCAGGTACCAGCCAACTGGCCGATGGGGGTCTTGGGGACCGTGGTGCCGGTGCCGCAAGCGCAGGAGCCCTGGGAGTCGGCGTCGAAGGCGACGTTCTTGGACTGACCCTCCTTGACGGTGAAGGTGATTGCGGCGAACCAGCAGCCGTCGATCAGACCCTTGGGGCCGATCTTGTTGAAGCACGAGCAAGAGTAGTCGGCATCGCTCGCGGTGAAGGTGGAAGTGTAGTTGTAGAGGGAGACGCTGGCGTCGTTGATGATCTGCATGTTGCAGCCCCAGTCGTCCTCAGTGCCGGTGTTGCCAGAGTAGGCGATCTCGGCGATGGTGGCGCGCTTGCTCTTGGAGCCGCTGCAGAAGGGGGTGTAGACACCGCCGGCGGAAGCAGAGGAGGTAGCGGAGGGGGCGGCAGAGGTGGAAGAGGGGGTCGTGGAGGGGAGGATGTTCTTGATGAAGGTTAGGTCGCGCTCCTCGACGGCGTCAGCGCTGCGGCGCTCGTGGAACTTCTGGTGGTTGTGGGCAGAAGGGTGGGCAGACACGCCGGCGAAGGCGGCCGCAAGGACGACGGCAGAAGTGAAGTGCATCTTGAACTATCGGAGATCGTGGAGAGATTCGTAAAACTCGTTGGTGGTTAAGAATGCTAAAAGTTGTGTTTATTTGCTAGACCCGTCCGGAAAAGAGTGACAGCGGGTTATCAAGATAACTCGCGGATTTGGACGATGGTTTTGAAGAGAGAGTGATGGTGTCAAAAGACCAGAAACCGGGATGTGCCAGAAAAGGGAGGGAGATGAGAGCCATTTTGAAGGGATGGAAATAATCTCATTCGAAGCGCCCTTCTGCGAGGCGTGTTAGCAAGAGACATGGTCAAGCTGGGGGAACTTGGTGTGGTGACAGGGGCGTCGTCACCAAGACGTCGCGTTCTGCTCTATCATCCACCATCAACAGCCCATCACAACCCGTCAACAACCCTGCTTAGCCAGGAACAGACACCAAAACGGGTAAAGGCCCAGAAGTGATGACCGAGAGGGCTAGGCGATGTGGAGAGGGGCATCGCTGGTTCCAGGGCCAGACAGGCCGGGCCAGGAACAATCTCTGTTTCTCTCGCTGCTTGCCAGCTTGGCTCTGCCAACTCAGGCGCAGAGCACAGCTGGCAGACATGCACACACCTCCCTCTGGACGTGTGGGAGCCAGGAACCAGTAGGGAGACATGGGTAAGTCGGATGGTGGAGGGAAATGGATCATGGATGGATCATGGTGCACCGCCGGCGCCAGGACAGGATTGGACGGTGATGCGGGAAAAGGGGGTGGGGAAGGTAATTTCACCGCACGCCAATTCCAAAAGGGCCACGGCCAGCCAAAGCTTGGTCCCAGGTTCGAGTCCAAGCAAATCCCTCCCCAAGGTCGCAGTAACATTCCATTCACAAGCCAACCAGAAGCCAAGCATCACTAGACCGTTACACGGCGGACCTGCCAATGGGTGATTATCGACTGGGAAGATGAGATACTAAAGCTTGGGTTTGTTTGGTTTGATGGATCGTCATCAAAAGTATTTCCATCTCATCTTGGGGTGATGCGGATATTCACCGCCAAAAAGCCACATCACACACACATTGGGATGAAAACATCCCGTTGCTGTTGGACAACGCATCAGTGTCTTTCTCGAGTCGAGTGAAAGTTCCCTCCTCTTCCGTACGCCCCCATGGATCCCACACCAACAAATGCCGGCAGGAAAAGCGCGCCGCCCAGGCACACCCGCACGTTAGGTTCTGGCTGCGTGAGAGAGGGGATGAGGCTTGCCGCAAATGCCAGGAACAGTGAACTTAGCTCCAGCGCCTGGGCCTGGAACCTGGACCTCGACCTGGAACCGGAACACGAAATCTTGGACTTGGTCGGTGGACCACAAACAGGGCACCCACAAAGTACCACGAGAGTCCAACTTTGCACGACGGGACACTCAAGAGAAGCACAAGCTATGACGGGAAGATCGACGCTGCCCGTCCACATGCCCACAACCGACCTGCAGAATCACACAAAGTTTTGCCTTGCTTGCCTGCAGTATTTTATTGTCCGCTGTACCGGATTCAGGTTTCTCGAACACTTCTAGACGTGATAAGAAGTCTAGAACGGTACCAACTCCAGCTTCTGCTTTCTTGCTTTTCTCAATTTCTCTCCATGACTCCGACCGAAGCAGAGACTTCACCTGGTGGAGATCCGGTGGAGGCACCCGAGTGCATAAAGTTAAATCTCTCACCCAAATGTTCGTGAACAGGCGAGTTGACGCCCCCGAACTTCAAAGAGAGTCGTCACTGCTTGCCTTCCATGACGTTACATATCCAAGCCCTATAGTCGCAATACCCCTTCATCGACGTTCTATTCGTCCTTCAACCTGCTGTCAGCATGCAAAGTTCGGCAACCGAAAACCCCTCAGTTGTCTTCTGGTCTTATCTGCAAGCCTCTCGGAAGAGGGTTGACGACTCGATAACCGGGAGCATCGAAATGCAGCATAAACGCACACAATCGTCAATATCATCCGATGGAGACAGCCTGATGGGGACAACATTACAGCATCTGTGAAGTGAGGAATTGGAGATTGCCCGTACGGATACATACCGTTCAGGAGGGGTAACATCAGGATAAGAGGCAAGTTCACTGAGGCGCCTGGCTGGGTTTTGCTATGCATTGTGCCAATGGAGCATCATCCCATCTCTCCCTGAGTCCTTCCCCTTCACCTCCCTTCGCTTACCTTATTGCCCTTCCAATATTCACAGGATGTTTCCTCGGCAGTGCAACACAGCTCATTAGAGACTTCGTACTCACGTCGTCCCATTTTTCCTTCTTCCATGTTCCGATCCCAGTGCCGCTGCCGTACAACGGCCCGTACGCCGCCGGGGTGCTTGAAAGTGGGAGTGCCAGGAACCGATGGGGTCTGGATCTTCCCAGCTAAACCCAGCGAAAGCCCGTTCAGGCCGCTCAGCGTAACGGATACGGCGACCCGGTCCACCATGTGGGAACATAATCACTACGCAACCTGGTCGCTGTCCAAGATCCCTCCCCCCTTCTCCCTCACCTCTCGGACTGATACCAAGGAAGAGTCTTTTCTGCGCAGTGCGAATCTGCGATTCCCTCCGTTCCGTTTCTCCACTGGGGCAGTGCTGGCAGCAGAGGCCAGTGGGCAAGTGGCAATCCCGAACGCGTCATAGGCCTCGTCAGGACTGAGGGCAGATGGAGCTACCGCAGGTCCAGCGGTGGCCTGTAGGCCGACTGCTTCCGCTACTGCAGGACCAGTTGTTAATCAGGCACTCAGGGCACTGAGAGCATACAGACATGTGCGGGGGGGCGCCCGTGAAAACAGTGTTTCTTGAAGAGCCCTGGGGGGGTCGGAGCTTATTGCTGTTTACCGCGAAAGACAACAACAAGTTCGGACGAGTCGATCTTCCTCCTGGGAGCTTGGCTTGCGGCTGTGTACGCAGTAGAGTCCGGACGGCGCCAGAGAAGGGGAGCCGCACCCGGACCAAGTGCGCGCCCATGTGGCATTACCCGGAGGGACCTGGGTTGTTTGCCTCTAAGAATAGTCTTCCCTTTTTATTGTTTCCCTTTGGTGCTTGGCCCGGGTGGTTGCCCAGGGAGGCAGGTGGAATGTGCCTGTAACAATTGTTCCTGAAGATCATTCACTCTTTGGGACAGCTTTGAACATGCCGTCGAGGCCTCGACCGAGATTCGATCTGACTTGTCGACTGATCTGCCAGATCAACAGAAAGAGCATTCAACATTGTCTTCCCCTGGGAAAGGGGGCGAGGCGGTGCCCAATGCACTTGACATGCACACGAATCTGGTGTCACCGCCGTCAAGCACGGGACCACGCTTCAACGAAGCGCGAATTGGCAGTTGATGCTGCCACGGCACCCATGAGTCCCGAGTCAAGAAAGCGCTGCTTTCACGAGAGTAAACGTCTACGTCGACCCTGACCAGAGAGAGTCATATGCACCAGGCCTCTGGACGCGCACAAAACCCACCCGCCCTCAAGCATCAGCCACCACCGCCACAGCACCACTCTTACGATGGTCAATTTTCCCGCCAGGGCAGCTCCTCGCCTCCATAGGACCCTGTCCCGGAATCCGTAACATCACACCACGAGTTCTCAGTGACTCAGCAGCCCTGATGGTCTAGCGGTATGATTCTCCCTTAGGGTACATCTTCGGATACACCTATCTGGGAGAGGTCCCAGGTTCGAATCCTGGTTAGGGCCCAATCTTTTGCATTTTTTTCATCCTGGGTTGACAGTTCCGTTGTTTGAGACTAGGAGCTGCTCCTGAAGAGCTGGCAAGCGTTACAGGCGTGTCTGCGCAGAGAAAACGCGAAACAGATGAGGTGAGTATGTCTTTCCTCACTATTCTGAGACTTTAAGTTTTGTCATGTCATACATGGGCTATGGTGGAGAATTAGATAGAACGATGGTTTTCACATTTGCTTCCTGCAAAATATAGTATGGGTATATAGTTGTATAGTTCTTGAAACGTTTTCTTTTTTTCCCCACTCAATATATAAATATCATCTGAACTTGAATGTCAAAGGGTTTTGCGCCGCACGCCGTCGTAAGCTTGGTGATCAGAGAGGAAAATTTAGGCAAACTCCAGGCATAAAGAAGAACGCCGCGATGCATTTATATAACGAATGAGCATGTGAGATGTACCATCAAGGTCAGTCGAGGGATGGAGGTGAGTCAATAACAAGGTTCGTGGTGAAGGGTTCTCTTTGGTTGATCCAAGATGAGGAGAAAGCCAGCTATGGTCCATACTCGATTTTGGAATGGTACCTCTCTGGATAGACTTATTGACACAGGTATCAGGACGGCGGTCAGCTTTTTATCTTCTCTTTCGTATACCATCCAGGACAAAAGAAAAACTAAACACCACATTTTAGACACAACCAGCTGAAGACGACATACCGCATTCATCCACAAGACTTGCGACAACGCCATCAAACATGAAGTTCTCTACAACAGCCGCCCTCGCCCTTGCCCTCTCTGTCACCAGCGTGCTGGGACAAGAGGTGCAAGTATTGAAGCAAGGTTCACCCACCTGCACTGGCAACTACTTCAAGATGTTTAACCTCAATCGCAAGTGGATGATCCATGCCATGGTCCCCGACGTCGACGCGATCCCTGACATCTGCGGCGGTCTCTGGGACAACCTCAAGAAATTCCCGATATGCACCCCGAACCCGGACGCCGGCTGCGAGAACAAGTGGGAGGGCATCATGACCTGGCGCTTTGGGACGGTGGGGATTTGCAACGATGGCATGATTCAGGCCGTGTGGTGGGAGGCTACCAGGAACAAATTCGGCCCACTCAAGTGTACGAGCAAGAAGAGGTTGTGAACCTGGGGAAAAGTGTCTTTTTTCACACGAAACGGAATTTTCTCTGTCACATTTCCGATTTTCCGTATGGAAACAGCTCGTAACGGTATCGTTGCGAATATTCGTGTTGAAGAATGGTACGTAGTGGTCGAGGGACGGAGATGTAAACCTGCTAAACATCTAATATCTTAGGAACCACGTACACACCTTCTTTCGTCTCGGCAATCAAACAAATATCTACTTGCGTCATCGATAAGTACGAAGAGAATATTTTCGCTCTTGGGGAATGGGAGGGTTAGAGAAAGCAGGATATTGCCCAGCCTTGATCCGGAACCATGCCAGAGCCAATTTATGGCTCGGGACCCTATACAGCTTCATTAGTCTAAACCGGTGTCAGAACCAGTCAATCAAAGGGCCCAGTAGTGTGATATTCAAAATGAGTGTTCTATTGATTCATGCAGCAATTTAGTCCAAATGAAGAAATCAATGAACTTCCCTATGTAAACGTTGTCCTTGACGCCCATACCTTTGCAGCTCATACTCCACACAAATCAGTAAGAGGTCTCCAATCACTTACCTATCGGGATGAAGGATCATAGATGTCAGTATAATCCTCATAGAGGCCATAAATCCATAGTTGATTCAAAGTATAGGTAGGGCGACGCAGGTTGGAGGTGTTGTCACTTGATGTATCAGTCGCAGCAGCCGCGGCCGCCGCAGCCCTTCTGGCGTTATATACTTGTCCAAAGATAGAAGCACCACCAGTCTGCGGAATCTGCTGTTGACTGGCCTTGGAACGGAGACGGGGTGGCGGCGATCCATTGCTCTCGCTGGCCGGGTTAAAGTCGTGGTTTTAGGGTCGGACTCTACCTGCTCTACCCTCGTACCCAATCATCATATCGCCTTTTACCTTGAGTGGTGTTTCCATGAGAGGCTCGAACCAGTCAGGCGTTGTGAGGGGACCCTCCTCCTCCTCTTCATCTGACATTGTTGTCTGAAGACTGCTCGGATGAAACGTCGCATCTCCACGGGACCAAGTCGATTCAGTAATATCTGCTGCACCAGTGAATCTCACTTCCTTCGTCTTTGTCAAATCCAGCGGGGCCGGTCGACGGCGGGAGAGTACTCCATCAACAGCACGCGACCGACCACGAACAGGGGACGGGGACGAATATTGGCGAGGAGTCGGGGTCGGCGTCACAGAGGCAGGAATACTAGGCCACGACTTCCAATTCTTACGCATCCGGTATCCCCTTGCCAAGCCAGCAAGCAAGCTCTCTCCGCTTGAAGGCCACGGCTGATGCTGATCCTGCTTGTGAGAGAGCGGACATCTCGCGACTCTACACGGGTAGAAGATGCAGGCGAGTCCCGCCTTTCCCATGTGCTTCTGCTCGTTCTTGGAGATGTGCTGGTACCGAGCGCGATCGATCATGCGGAGGCCCGCCAGGCTTACGCCCTGCTGGTACACGTCCCCAGTCATGATGCGGGCTCTCGTTCCTCCAGGCGTCACAAAAATGACGGTGAGGCTCTCGTCCCAGGTACCTGTATCGTTTTCGTTTCGAGAGACGTAGATGTTGTGGCCGTGGAAGGTGCTAACAAGCTCAGCTTTGCTAAGATACTCGACGAGATCGTCCGTGAGGTCCTGTACGGAACCCCAGAACTCGGGTAGCCACCAGGGGTCTTCTTCGGGGTTGTTGACGGCTCTCGCGCCCCAGGATGATATGATACGAAGTTGCTTGACGGAGTTGGGGTTCTCAGGAAGGTTCTGGGTCTTATCGACTAGCACGTTCAAAGGTGGTGGCTGTTGTTTGCTGTTCATAAGATCTACCGAGTTCGCCCATCGAAGGCATCGGCTGTCGTTCTGGTTATCGTCCTGATTATCATCCCGGCTGTCTTCATCACTTGACTCACTAGTACATGAATACACACTTGATGAAGAATGGAACTCATACTTAGATCTCGCCGGCGGTTCCAGAGTTGAGCAGTGGTTTAAGTGCGTCGTGGTAACCGACGTCTCAGACGACGCCTCAGACTGGGGCGAACCCAGCCCGGCTGGGATCGGAAATCCTGGGAATGCCGTCATGACCAAAAGAGGCAAGCTGTAGGACTTGCCCTTGTTGTTCTGAATAAACGGACGGTGCTTACCGGGATGAGGCGCACTCGGACGGCTCAAGAACTCTTCAGCGAAGCCGTGGGCCGAGTCGCCAAAGTACTTGTGCGGTGACGGATAGAGGAATCCGTAAAAGTCCTTGGCTGCCTGCTCTGCCGACCAGCGGCAGTCTTCGCAGACGAAATCAGCAAGGCGTTGCACCCTCGTCAACTTGAGGGAGCCGCAGGAGCCTAGGATAGACGGTGAAATATTGGACCAGTTGGTGCCGCTGGCGATGGTTACGGTGTTGGCGCAGAACTGGTTGACGTCTGTGTGTCGGGTGAACTGAAGACACACCTTGCACTGGGAGTTAGGCTGAAGGATAAGACACATGATGATTGGAAATCTTGTTGAGAAGGAGTGGGATGGTGATCGCAATTCAGTGCTCTGTGCTGCAGGTTAGATGGTTATATGGCGCTTAGAGATGATAGTAGTCTTAGCTCGGCTGGAAAGCTCAACTGGAGGTCAGAAAGTCGACGGCGATGCTGCTGGAGAATTGGTCAAGTGATGTGACTAGAAGATCTGGACAGGGAAAGCTCTGGACGGATGACGAAACGATTTGTATTTATGCGAGAGAAGTGGTGTATATCTTTAAACTCGTTGTATCCTCTCCTTCATGTCCAGGACAAAGATACTTGCAGCTTCTGCAAGCGTTGACTTTGTCAAGGACTGCGTCCTTTGATTCAAAGGAAGGGAAAGCCAAAGAAAGGCCGCCTTACACAGGATCAAGATTCAGATTCTTTGCTGTCGAACAATAATGCAAAACGGTCTTTGAATTTTACGATCAGTTGATTTAGTGATTGGTTTTGTCGGGATCCTCACTTTGTTTACCTTAAACAATCAAGCTAGAACAAATAATACATTTCGGTCAAGGATTAAATTTGATGTACGAGACAGTGATTTTTAATGCAAGGATAGGAGCTCCAGTGACCTTTGATTTCCAAATGAATGCTAATCCTACTAGTATGTGTTTGAATAATCCCCAACGTCCCCCTTATGACCGTGTCGCGCCCTCGCCTTCAATGGAGATAATCTACTAAGAAATCCATACCTCTTCGCGTCTACTAAGTGATGTACACCCCTTCGCGACGGCGAAATATGTCATGCCACGAGCTGCGTCTGTCGGTCTAACCAGCCAACGATTCAACAGGGGATGCACCCGAGCATTCTCTGCGAATGTGTTGAGGCTCATATCTTCGATCCCTTGCTCCACCAGAAGCCATAGTCTTGCATCGCCCGGCCTGCTCAAGCGTCCATGCAGGAACCTATCGTCGTGCTCTATCCGCTTGGCAAGTTGAGTCCACTGAGCCCACCAAATCAAACTCGTGTACGTATTATAGTCCCTCGGCTCTGACGTCTGTTCGCGTATAATGCCCAAAAGGCACTCCCAGTCATCTTCCTCGCCCATATTCTCGTGGCAAAGACAGAAAATTCTTCGCGCCACCTTTGAGAAGGGTGTTATCGGCTTTGGCGGACGTTCGGCACGCTCTCGAGAATACACCGGCTCGTCGTATATTGCGTAGCGCTTATTCCACTCGGCGGTGCGATCACGCTCTCAGTCAATCTCACGGATCAGGCTGGACCAGTTGGAAACTGACTGGCCACCAGACCAACCCTGTCGACGCTGTGCGTTCTCAATCTTCCGCGGTGTGCTTCTTTCCACGCCGAACTTGGCGTAGAGTGTTGGCAGGTCATTGGCGCGAAAGTGGAGATATTGCATAGTGTAGTGGTCTCTAAGGAGCTGCCTGAGTTCCATGATGAGGCCGCGATACAGTGCCTGCTTCCCCGTGAAGTCCTTAAGGGCGCGTAGTCCGTAGTGCGCCCGACTACAACTGACGTGCGCTTCCTTCGTCATATTTTTCAATAAGGCCTCGATTCCTTCCGAGGCTCGGGCTTCGATCCAATTCGTTACAAGTGTAACTGCGGAAGTGACCCCTTTTTCACAAGTATTGTGCTGTTTTCTGGCGTTCTCCCAAGCATCGAGAAAGAAGTCCATGAACTCGTTGTATTGACCCCTAGACATCGTAGCTTTCTTGTTCGTCTCCATAGTGTATGATTTGTTAGGAATTATGAGGTATCGTGAGGGAGTATGGGAGAGCTGTCTCTGGTTTGAGCTTCGGTAGATGCTAATTGCGTTCGGGAATTACGTGGTATTGTGAGGGAGTAAAGAGGGCTGTTTATGTTTGGGGTTCGACACAGTAGTCCGACCCTTTGGACTACGGATTACGGTCTATGGTATGGGTCGAGGTCGGCCAGCAAGGTGCCCCTCCCCGACTACCTGAGAAACCACATGTTTCTGAAAACCAGTGACATACAACAGCCAAGCCTGTCCCAACAGTCACTTCACTGGCATACCTCCAAACATGGCATCAAAAGAGTGACTTTATTCAAATCATGAATGTTTGTATCTTGTGTACTTGATCTCAAATCATGACAAAGTATCCAATCTCGTGTCATCTCAACCCAAACCTACCTAATCTGGAAAGCAGCGAGCGACTGTTATCCCAATTTTCGGATGAAAGAAAGTAGGCATCCTCCACACATCAAACTGCCCCAGCCTAGAGCTCGTTTTGCTTCTTGCGGGCATCGATGATGGCAAGAGCCTCCTCAGCAGCTTTGACTCCAGAGAGAGCCATGGCACCGAAAGTTGGACCTAAAAAACCACCCAAAGATATTAGCAAACAGCAACCAATGTCTCATCAGACCAAGTGTGTATAAGAAGATAACTCACCCATGCGGTTGGCGCCGTCAACCTCACTCAACTCCATTCCGCCCACAATCAACCCCGGCACAATCTCCCTCGTCCCTTTGACGATCGCGTCCTCGGCACTTTGCATATCCAGCCCGCGCATGCCGCCAAGCTGCTCAATCTGTTTCATGCTCACAAGCCTCTTGACGCAGAACGCACCAAACGGACCGTCGTGGCCGGTAGTCGACACCACGAGCGGCGCGTTGATGGTGTTGGGGTCCATGCAGGACTGGTCGTCGTGGTGCATCGAGACAAGAGTCCAGTTGGTAACGACACCCGCGACCCGCAGACTACCGTCCTCGTTCTTGCGGGTAATCAGGTCCTCGACCGTGGTGGCGTTGAAGAGCTTGACGTTGGAAAACTGTAGCACCTTGCTCATGACGGTAGACGTGAACAGCGCGGCGTGCTTGACGACGACAAAGTCGCCCTCATCCTCGTACGGCACACCGACCTCGTCCAGAAAGACTTCGGCAGGCTTGCGCATCACCATGGCGGAGAACAGCTGTCCGCCCAGCCACGCACCACCACCGGGCGCGACGCCGGCCTCAACGATGGCGATCTTGAGGTCCGGACGGGCTTTGGCGAGGACGTAGGCCGTGGAGAGGCCGCAAGACCCGGCGCCGACGATGACGACGTCGGATTCGGCGTAGGTATCGAGGTCGGAGAAGTAGCGGCGCGTCATGGCGCGCGAGACCTGAGACTCGCGGATGGGAGCAAACTTGAAAGAGTCCCACTTGCCAAACATGTCCTCCACCTTGGTAGAAGCGTTGGCAGCCATGGTGGGGACGGGGGTAGAGGGCTTGGACTTATTGGCCATCACGGGGACGGCGTAGTCGCGGACGGGGGAGATTGCAGCGGGGGGAGCCATTTTGTCTTTATTGTTATTGGGTTCGAAAGAACTTCTCGAGTGTGTTGTTCTTGGTGTAATCTGCTTGTGTTAGGGTGCATGATCCTTTCGCTGGTATTATCCAGATCAAGTTCAAGGCCGTATATTCTCAGCCACACCGTTGACATCGTTCGCTAGCTCATCATGGGAAAAGTGATGGCAGCGACGTCTGCGCTCAGGTGGGCACCGGCTCATGCATTTGCGCTCAAGAGTGTTCACATACTTGTGAAGATTGTACGGCGAAGTGCCTCCTGTGAGGGTGTCAGTCTGTATGCGTTCGGTTACACGGAATTGGGCCTACTGTTTGTGTGTGCGTATTGAAGCTGGTCGATGAAACTTGGTTGCAGGAGTGCGAAAAGCAACATTGAAGAGGATGGCCGAGAAGTGAGCATATTATATAGACAATTGATAAGAAACTGCGCAGCACAAACTTTGGCCTATCGCCTGCGGGGTAAAAGACATCATTCATGCGCAATCCTGAGCTCTTTTCCCCCTTCATGCTTCCGCCCGCTTGCCCTCGTACAGCCTTCTTAGGGGCGGGATCGGCCAATACTGTCCCAACAGCCTTCATGCAGTAAACAGACCATGCCCTAGACGTACCTCGCGTCTCGCCTCGACGATCACCGCGAGGACAGTCTCTTGGAACACATTCTGTCGCCTCTGTACCTTCCTACATCCTATGAGGAGTGAAGTAATGGAAGCGGGTGGGGTTCCACGGGGGTCTGAACTATGTGTCGTTGAACACCACCGGCGGAGTCGTTCCCGAAAGCCGATGGCACCCGCCTCCGGGATCGGTACCTTGCCCCTCCATCCCATCCCCTCCCGAGCCGTTAACTCCCGCCGACCGATCCAGAAACTACCGAGAATTCCAGCTTCGAATTGATGAATTGACGAACTCAAGCATGTCTCTGAAATTCATACTTGTGCAGCACTCGTCCACATTTACAGCAGTATCAAAAAGAGATCATCAGGCCAAAACCAAGGTTTCCAACCACCGCCCGCCGAGGCCGGACGAAACCTCCCGCCTGCATGCCGTCACCCCACTCCCTCTAGCGAGCCCAGCCCAACGGCAAGACACGGGCGGGGTGGGGCGGGCGTTCCTTTACTTCACGCGGAGTTGCTGTTAGAGGCATTGGCGCGCCCGCGTACCTTAACACCCAAGGCAATGGCAAACGTAAAAGGTACCTACTCTGTACAGAATGTACGGAAATTCGCGCACCAAGAAAGTACGGCAATGGTGCGTGGTAACGTGATGAAAGGAACATGTGAAAAGAAAACTTGCTCACATCCTCCAAGTCTATATAGGTACGCGTCGTTTGGAATGGGCTGCCTGTGAGTGCTTGCTGAGCTTGGGCTTAACCGCCGATGTAGGATTGGTCCTACCAGACAGCGAGTCCTTTACTTGGGTTAGGCGTCTGAGATGGTGTACCTACGATTGGTATGGTGATGCATGTGGTTGGCAGACACCATATTTCTGCCATTGATGAGAGACAACTATGTACACCAGTGTAGGGCATTGAAGTGATGGCATTCAGTTAAACAATAGAATCTAGTGTACGGTTTGTTTTAACTTGATTGCTAGAGCAGAGCAGGCTTGACATGCTTGGTGCTGATGAGTATACGACCGCCACGTCCGTCATGCGTCCTAGTCGATCATCGATGGGACAACGGGCCAAAAGTAGCTGGGTAAATGTCGGTCGGTACGTCAGATCAGTACCCCAGCCAGGTCGTGATAACAAATATCGCGACCTTTCGCAGCTTGAGGGCAGTGTCACTGGGGCCACAAACACAGGCCAAATCCGAGATGTCATCGTGGTCGTGTAATGTTCCACCGTTCTGGTCTCGAGACCAGGTTATGTTTGCATTCCTTCCGCTGCAAAACGTATCAGGCACCTGGCAATTCAGGAACCTGAGGGCCCTTACTGTCGTGCCATTATTAGCTCGCCTTTTGCGCCAAAGCCGGAATGCTCATATACCCGCTACTACCACCACCACACCCTTTATCCTGTCCAACATACTCCTCGCCGGTCGACAACAACACAATCCCGCCTCTTCGCCCCCCGACGTCGTCGCTTCTAGCAATGGACGGACTACTTGCCCACCCAACACTGCCCTCGGAATCCTCGCCCGTGGTATCAGACTGACTGTCCTCCGACTGCAGAACATCCCAGAACCGGCGGGCGGGTGTGTCACCCTGCTTGCTGAGTTCCGCTATCGCGCTGGCATGCCCACGATCGTACCAGGGCATGAGGTACCATCGCCGCGGCGCGAGGAACATGACTTCGATCCAGAGGACAAAGATCATGAGCGCCACGGGTTCCTTCAGCCTCAGAAGCGAGAGGTATTGCTCCGACACCAGCGACGGCCAGATGATAAAGTGCTTCCATATCCTCGGCCGTCCAGGGAGAGACATAATCCAGGACTTGAGTGCGCCGAGGGCACCGAGGTATATCTTGATGTCTTCGACTGGTATCCCCGTCGTTTCGGGACCCAGGCATAGGAACTCAACAAACTTGGCTTTCTTCTGTATGGTTGGTCGTAGCAATATGTCGCTGCTGTCGCGCCATACTTTTATGTCGACTTGTGCTAGCTTGTCCCGTATAGGACTCTTGAAGACGTGCGGCGTGACCGTGTCTGAGAATCTGGCCGCTACCCGCATTACTGTGAGAGCTTTGCAAGGCTCAAACGTGCTGACCTGTCCCATCACCTTCTCGTCGGCAAACGGTCGGTAGTACCCAAAAATACCATTGCACATGGAAAACACAAAGGTAGCCAGCCAGTTCTCCTCTGTGACCTGAGGAACAGCGAGCCGGAAATAGTTGCTCGCTTGTATGGCGTGTTGGCAAGCCATCGAATAGTATCGCTTCGCGTTTGGCGGTTCGAGGTAGCATAGGTGTAGAGCCGCGATGGAGAGCATGCTTTGGTGGATGAACACGTTGCGTGACGCCAGCTGGGGCACCCATCTCGACCACACGTCACACTTCCGAGGATCGGTCTGTAACGAAAAGGTGAACCAAGCCTCGTTCAGGAAGTGGTGCTTGAGCTCGGCCTCATCGGCGCGAAGCTTCTCGGCAGGTAATGAAGCGCTGAGGGCATCTCGTGAAGATGCGTGTGCCGCAACCGTGGCGGCACGGCGGACCATACTCAGGGTATCGCTAGCCTTCTCTCCATTTTCGCGGTTAAGGGCGTCTGCCAGCAGCCCGAGATAGCTGCAGTGTTCTTGGCGACGGCGACAGTTGGCGCATACGGGACCGACGCAGTCGCACTAGAACCCAATGTCAAGTCAGCAACATAAAAGCTCTCTAAGATAGTACAGCGTAGTATTGGGGGACCTAGACGGCGATCATGTCTTGCTCGGCTAACCAACATCGTCACTGGCTGAAGGAAGAACCCAATAAACCGGGACTCCGACATGCACGTCACCAGTCTATCCCGATATTGGCGGGCCATGTCTTGTCCATGCCTACCCGCCTCTCCGTAAATAGGATCATTCCGTACCTTGACACGACGCTTCTTGCACTGTCGGCACCCGTTCTTCGTCTTTCCGTGATACTGCCTTGAGCCCTTCGGCATTCTATCGGTACACAAGCTCGTTTGCAGACGTTCTGCTCTTTGCAACTCCTCTGGTTCGGATCGGACGCTGATAAATTTTGTCCCGGTGAATAGGCGGGCGGAGGAGGTGGCGCGGAAGGTCAACCCTCGACGGGCTGACTACTTGTTTTTAAAACAATCCGTTCAGTTCAATATGCGAAACGTCAGAACTTGGGGAGATGCTTGACCTTGTCAGGGATGCATGGCTGTCCTGACGCAAACTCAACTTCAACGCCGCACGTCCCCCGCTGTGACATCGGGGTGACAGAAACCCGAGTAGCCATGCGTGAGAGGCTGGAGCTGACCGAACGGCGGGCAGTGTAAGCATCAGAGGGCTGTTGTCATGCAGGGATCCGATACCAACATGCGGCTTGCCGCTCTGAATTGGCAATCCGTTCGCCCCAGGTGGGAAAAGACAGCTGCCAGTGCGAGGTTTCTTGGGCTTCACGATGGTGCGTAGCTCGCTCGGTGCGGTGTCTTCTGCTCAACACTACCTACCGCAATCGTTCTCTGTCTTCATGTGCCGTGGCGCCTCGACAATCTCGAATGGTTGGCCGGTTAAGTCCTAGCCCAGGTCTCAAGGTTCCATGGCCCATGAAGAACCAGGATGCAGAGAAGAAGACGTCGAAAGATGAAGCTACACATGTATCGAGGGTCCATAGGGATATCCCTCGGAAGATAATCTCATGTTGTGGCGGATTAGACATCCGCCTCTGCCCAGAGACGAACATTCCTCGAATTGAAGTTGGCCGTTGTGAATACCGGAGTTTAATCCACGCCTTCATCTTGTGGATCGATCGTCATAGACGAGCTCGACAGTGCCATCTAAGTTTGAAACAAATCCAAAGACGTTTCGCACCATAGTCATAAGCTAAGATGGTATGCATTGACGTGAAATCGTAGCACTTGGATACCCCGTTGGCTTTGCAACGCTGATGCCGCGGCCGTACATTGGCTGGCTAGTGCGTAGAAGGCAAAGCTGCAGGTGTAGCCCTGAACTCTCGTGCAGTGCGTTTGGATGCAACCACCCGCGGTAGTAGCCAGACTGATGGACTAGGAAAGTAATCCCGGCCGTTTGCCTGGGATATACCTCACGAACCATACATGTGGTAGCTGGGATGGCCGTAAGGCGTTGGTGTTGCGTGATCTCGAACAAGAGAGAGTTCTCAATGACAAATGTGCCCGCTTCAAAGCCGTCTATAGAAACTAGCTGGCTCATCATTGGCGTAAAGCATGGGCAAAAGTTGCCAGGGGTTCGGATGGCGTTTGGGGCAGCTCGATCTGGATGTCGTATGCTGTCAGTGATCTCAAACTCCTTTGAAATGAGCAGGTCAGACAACGGCCGGAATGAAGGCCCACAGGGGCGCAAGTCGTTCGGCAGAAACCTAGCCTTAAGGCACCATGCGTCGATCACAGACCCAGGCTCAGGGCATGTCAAAGAGTGAGGGAGCTGTCACGCTTGTGCCTGGACGCAGTCATCGCCTGTCACCATCAGAATAGGCTAGACTGGAGGATTCTGTCGCCAGGGCCGTTCTTTTCAGCCGCATGTCTTGTGCCTTCAGGCGGAGACTTTCCTCGTAGATGAGTGTGAATCAGGCACTGATTGGGACGTTTCCACGTGAGTGCAGAAGTTTGCCATCTGAGGTAGCCGATGCGATGAGATATTTGCTGATAGCGTGACTTCACGAAGATTCAAACGCTGGTAAAGTTCAAGATATCACGAGAAATAAGCGGTCGATAAGATGATCCGCCGGTCAAAGCATGACGAAGCCCTTCTTTCACAGCTTTTCTCGAGATCCAATACGATATCGGCCGTCATTCGGTGGCTTGAATAAGAAAATCCACCGGCCATATGATAGGCGAGCGCCTTTCCTGACACGATTGCCCTGAGAGGCGTTCTTAGCGCTGACTACACGCGTGTACAACGAATTTCGAACACCCCTAGCAATATGAGGGAGGGGATTCCTCATATAATCGCGCCGTACCCTTGATCAAAGCTTGTTGGTAGCTCTGACATTTATTTTTCAATATTGCGGGTTGTGTCGCTCTGATTGATCTCCTCGAAAAATGGCAGACTTTAGCGCTTATAGTATGGAGTCGGTAGGTCGAAGTTATTCGGTGATGGTAGTCACAGCGGCATTGCTGCTGGTACCGGCGTTCATGCTGAAGAAGCTCATGTTTCCGACCTTCGATCCTCGTGAACCTCCGGTGCTCCGTCCGAGACTGCCAGTGTTCGGCCACATCATCTCTTTCATCAGAGAATCCGGCGGCTTCTACGCCAGATTATAGTATGTATTCGTTCGTCTGAACCAGTGTACAATCTTCTGCTGACTGGAGCGTGAAGCAAGGAAAACAGATTGCCGATTTGCACACTACCGATGTTACATGGCAAGATGTACTTGGCAAACTCGCCCTCTCTGATCGCAGCGGCTATGTGCCATGGGGACATCTCATTCGAGCCTTTCCAGATCGAGGCCTCGTCGGCTGTGCTTGATCTTCCGAAGCATCACATAGACACTCTTATGCAACCGGGAATCTTGCACCAGATCGAGAAAACCATGGCGGCAAATCTACGCCAGGACGCGCTCCAAAAGATGAACCATGCTGCTCTGAAATACTTGGCAGGGATGTTGAACGCAATAAATCCCATAAACCCACTCGAAGAGCCCGACGGATTCGAATGGATCAAGGGCATCTTGACCATGGCCACTGCGACTGCTCTGTACGGAAAGGACAATATGTGGGACGCCAAGATGCTTGAAGATCTTTGGTGAGAAGAGAGTGCACACTGAGTGGCGTGGCATTCACTGACATTAGGCAGGACGTTTGAGAAAGGTGCAGGGCTCTTGGTGATGAAGGTTGCACCGAATTTGGTTGCCCCCAAAGCTATCGCTGCCCGAAAGAGGATGAGTGATCTTATCCGACCTTTTTACCAGGCACGAAAAGATGAGAACTCGGATGTGGCAAAGATTCTTCAAGACCGAGCTCGGTATCTACGCGAGCTGGGGATGCCCTCCGAAGACCTCTCCCAGACTGAGTTTCTGATACCCTTTGCTGCAACTTTGAATACGGCGTCGAACCTGTTCTGGACATTTGCCGAGGTTTTCTCCAGGCCAGAGTACGTTGACCGTGTCCGGCAGGAAGTTATACGGGTGGTCGTGGAAAGCAAGAGCGAGACGGGACGAGATGTGACAATTAACGCCAAAAGCCTGGAAGCAGACTGTCCTTTCCTCGGCGCTTGCTTCCGCGAAGTTCTGAGGCTCCACAGTGCGCAGATAGGAAACCGACGTATTATGAAGGACGCGACACTGGAAGACACGGATGGTCGTCAATATCTGTTGAAGAAGGGCACCAATATGCAATGGTCGGCAAGCGTCACGCACTTTATGCCAGAGATTTGGGGCGACGATGCTGCCTCTTTCAAGCCGGAGCGATTCCTTGACATTGATCCCCGGGATGAGAAACGGAGACGTGGGGCATTGATCCCGTTCGGCGGCGGCCGCTATCTGTGTCCCGGCCGGCACTTTGCCCAGACGGAGACCCTCGGGTTCGTCAGCGCGTTAGCGCTCGGGTTCGACGTGGATGGCGTCAAGGTTCCTGCGGCGGAAGCTCCGCCCTTGGGTGGAGCGACGAGACGACCGGCGGGTGATCGAGCAGCCGAGAATATCAAAGTTTCACGGCGGAAGGGTTGGGAAGACGTGACGTGGAGATTCGTATGTTAGGTCGTCCAGTAAAGTCTACAGCTTCTCTGCTCAAGATCTGTCCCGTCTGGCGTGAAGCTATGGTGGAAGCATGTCAAATCGGTGAAATGAGGTGACCCTCCATGCCCATGAAGCAGGGTCTTACCAGAGGTGCTTGGAGGGTCGAAAGTTGCCAATGCAGACCACTCAGTGCCTTTGACTAGGCAAAACCGAGCTGAAGCAACCGATGCGAAGTAGTCCCGCCGTATGATTGGTGTTATCGTCTAGCAGCGACATACAATGGCGGAAGTGGTTGCAGCCGGCAAGTGGCCCCCTGTCAATCCCGGCGTCATGCGTTGAGCTGTCAGTCTGCAGCTTGAAGAGTCTCTGACGCCGCAATTGGCAGAAAGCGGGAGGATGCGGTGTTGCGTGACGAACCAGATGGAGTGTCGTGTCGCACATAAGACGAGGGGAATCCAGCCATACACGGGTGACGGAACAGCGGGCGATAGTCGACGTGGTCGATCTTATGGGATGATTCGGCGAACCGCTATCAGCCAGGCACCTTTTGGCCTCCCGAGTTGGTGATGTGATGCAAGGATGACATATGGGGGCGGGAGCGATAGCGAATGGCGCAAGGAGTTGGACGCTGATGAGCGACTGGCTGATGGAGGGTGAAAGACACGCTGACAATGTGCATTTGCAAACCCGGTGCCGAGTTTACGGCGAAATATCACAACGTTTGACCGCAAGGTAACCAGACATCCCATCCCTTCCTTGATTGAGGCTTATCGTTGGTCCGGGATCTCCAAGCGCGTTGGCTTGCCTTGCTTGCTCTCAAGGGTCTAGGTGAGGTTGTGGATAGAGCACTCGGGGTCTATGCATCCACGGCGGGTAGGCGTCGGGATGAGCCATCGGTGAAGGGCGTTGGGAGAAGCTATGGCTGTCTTTGCCTCTTCACCGCCCTCTGGCGGCCGGGGGTTCTGTTCGAATCCCCTGCATCTTTGTTGCGGTCAGGGTTTGCTGGATGTTGACCTACTTTTCTTGTATTGTTCTTTTGCAAGGAGCGCGGATAGCTGCCGGTGGGCCCTGTGGGATCTCGCGATGTAGTGCAGTGAGATTTTGTTTTTTCTGTCTTCGGCTCTCGCCGGACGCTGTTGCCCCGAGCAGTGGGATGTGCCTGATGTCCGACGAATACGCACAGGACGAAGACAAGTTGCCGCGGTTAGAGGAATGACTGGCCGATTGTCGGCAAAATTAGATTGCCAGGGTGGAGTTGATCGAGAAGCTTTCAGCAACTTTCTTGGAATGGTCAATGGATGAGGTAAGAAAGTCAGGTCGCAAAAGAGCTTTTCCCTCGAATTTGTCGTTGGCGCACTTGAGGAAAGTGCGTGCCTTGGGCGGGTCGCTGTCGCAGGGTAGGCACGGGATCTTGGGAGCGAGTTTGGGGAAGGAGCTGTTTGTGGGGACCTTCCAATGGAAGGGGAAGGGTGACGGAAAGAGCTGCTACGGTCCACGCCGTTCCTTCTGTTTTGCTGTGCTTCCATGCCCAAGCTTCCTCACGGGATACACCTGCAATTTCGAGACGAGGAGGGCGCACAGTCTTGCGTGTCAATTCACTCTCTCAACCTCTTCCCCCGGACTTTGCATTCGAGAAAATAAGATGTAGCTTTTTCTCTTCTTGGTGCTTCTCTGCTGGAAGCAACACGACGAATGCAATGGTAGTCAAAGGCAAGTCATGAGTCTGAGGTACTTTATTATCATGATGGCAACCAGTCGTCCTGTTGACGCACCTGCTTCATCGGCCTTGCCTGCCCCCGCTTTCCTTCTCAGCCCAACACCAAGGCCCAGCGGTGATCCATGGACGGGGGAGGAGAGGCCGGGTGGTTGGGGGGACCTGAACCCTGCTTGACGGAAGGAGCCCCTGGCCACCCTGACGCGCCCGACCTGATCGTGTCAACTTTCCTTTCCTTGGTGCCTCTGCATACCTTACGTAACTTCCTTATCAAGTTCTCTCAAGAACAGAAGAGCCTAGGGCTCGTTGAAGCATTGAAGTGCTCGAGGGACGGAAGTGACATGGCCTCCCGTCCCAGTTACAGTTGGCGCTGACTGTGCACCAGCACCATCGTCCCGTTGTCGGTGCCAGGTGGGCCCCTTCAAGTTTCTCCTCATTCCATTGAGAAAAGCGAAAAAAGCTTCTGGTTTCCAAGACTGTCGGGCCAGGTCCGGGTCCATGCGACACTGAGCGCCGTCCGTCCTGCCGCTGCTGCGCTCCTGCACCTCGAAGCTCTTCATGGCAGTGGGCGGGTCCTTCCCAACTTTCCCCCCAGGGCCCCAGGCACAGAAAAAAAAACACAAAACTGGGTGATCCGGTCATTTGATGCGTCATCATTGGCTGGGGGCTGACCTGGGGGAAGAAAGGGAATGGGGGTCCAGGGTGGCTTCCAGGAGCGGAGGGGAAAGGCGGCGGGCGGCGGGTGATACGTACCGGCAGCTTTCCCGTCTTCGTCTCGTCAGTCTGTCACTCAAGTCTGTCATTGTCATACATATTGGCTTTGCTGCTGAAAGCATTCGAGTGAATTGCCTCAGTGTTTCTTTTTTTTTTTTTTTTTTTTTTTTTTTTTTTGTCTCTGCGCATTCACTGGCCCGTCTGTTATTGTGAATGAAGCAGAGAATGTGAGTTCATATAGAATAGTCAGATCACACATAGGAACAAGGCTCAACAGCTCCATCTTACAGATAGAATGTAAGGTACCTCATCTTCTTCAGCAATCTGATATGAAACATTCTTGAGCTTGTCAGGATCTAGCCATAGCTTGTTCATTGGGTATATTGTTGACATTCGGTGTACCTGGATGGGATAGGATATCACGACTTGCCAGGTGAACTTTGTCAAACCATCATACTGCGTGACTGCTTACATCTGCCGTCAGCAACAGTTGCCATCATGGTCATGTTATGGCCACAGCATCAAACGCGACACCCTCTCGAGTCTCGGATGAAAAAGTCGAGGTGACAAGAGCCACGCAGACACGGCGCGCAACACCCAAGACAATACGCAAGGCACGCCACCTTAATTACCCCAACCTTTGCCTCCATTCCCCTTGCTGCGGGTGAGGATGCCATACCATACCTTACAGATACCTGACTCTCTCTCCGTGTACGGATACCCAGTACCATAAATGTACTTTTAAGATGCATGAGCATGGTCGTGTACGTAGCATCACGCCAAAAAGCTACCTTAAATCTCAGCCAGAAACAAAGGAAGACACAGCCCTTCCCGCCCACTCTCGCGCGACTCGTCCTGGGGAGCCCCGCGCCTTGAGGCCATACCAGTCTGTCCACCGCCAGTTTTTCCAGAGGTGCTTGGAAGTTGGGGCATCCCGCATGCAACTCTCTGCATTGTGCATTCTGCATCTGTTTGGTGGCTTGCCTTGCTTTCCCCTCCCTTCCTCTCTTACGACTCGAGCACGGCGAACAAACCCACTCGTTCCTTGCCTGCCCGAGAACTACCTACCTGGAGACTAGAGTGGCGATGTGACAGCCCATTCATAAGAAATGCTTTGCAGAGCTGCCGTGCGCCCCTCGTTTCTGGCATGCGGCGATGCGCTGTCGGCTGTCAACGCTCTCTTCTTCCCCGCCCTCGTTCCTGTTCCCGTGTTCCTCGATCAGATGCTTTGATCTTTGACGGCAGTACTATTGCCAACGGACAGTCGCACTAAGACTCTGCGGACCGTCTCTTCCTGCATAAGCTTACCTGACCTTACCTTGCCATAGTGTGCCATGGCACGGATAGGCCCCTTGGATCGTCCATGTCCCCTTGCGCATCTTCGTCCCCCCCCTCGTTTTCCCCCATCGTCTCCTTGCTGCTCTCCAACTCCTCCACGCCTTGCGCGCCGTTCAGTCAAGTCCTGGAGCTTCTGCGTTCGTTGTGAGGCGCAAGATACCTTGTCAGCTTGGGTTCCCTGCAGCTTCGACAGGAAGGAACGGTCCAGGAAGGAACACACATCTGAATTCGTATCTACCTACCCAGGCCCTTCTTTCCTTTCTCAAGCCTACCTTACGCTGTTGGTTCTTTCCTTCCATCCAAATCAACTCGAGGGAAAGTACGTAGCCGGTTAAGGTACTCACCTTCTCGACCGCATAGTCACGTGAAGCCATCACCACATTTCCTCGAGTCTGGCGCGGTAAAAGCTTTTCGACTCAACTTCAGCATCCACGGACAAAGCAAACTCACCAACTCATCACGTCAAATCTGTCACTCGACAAAGGAGCCCACCGGCTTGCGGCAGGGAAAACAACATCCATACGTACTTCGTTCCCCGGGCGCGGCGCATCGACATCATCGTTTCCCATCAACGGGGGGCCACCTGTCTCACTAGCGCGAACGAACCTCCCCCGGCATCCCTGTCGCGTTCCGGCTGATTTGCGCCCATTTGCCAGCGCCGGCCCCAAGGTCACCAGCTCACGGTCCCAAGTCCCCCAAGTCCCCCAACCTGAGGTACGGATAAGTCTCCAAGCAGCACCTGCAGCACCAGCAGCAGGTCGAAGTGTCGAACTCGACTTACGGACCTAGCCGCGTCTCCAGCTTGACCTCTAACCACCTGCAGGTCGCAGTGATCAAGGGTGAGCCACCCTGTCACCTTGACCTTGACTTTGACCTCTCTCTCTTGAGTCTCCCCCCATCCCCGAAAGAGACAAGACAAGACACCACCATCTCCTCAACCCACCCACACCAACAAGAACCGGGACCCTGTCGCCAGTCCACCATCACCTCCACCTGGACCTTCACACCCCCTGGCCCCCGAGGTACTGCAAAAAAAAGAGGCGAGGGCCAAGGAAAAGAAAGAGAGGGAAAAAAACGAGAGTGAGCACAGGCACAAGCTGTTCAATGCCAGCAGCCGGCCAGCCCAGCTCCACCGAAACAGGATCCGGCCAGGGGAATCCAAAATAATTCTGCGTCCGTGTAACACAACAGTGTGTCGCGATCTTCCTCTGCTCCTCGGCCATTCCCTCCTACTTCCCTACCTTGCTTCACACACCTCACCTCGCCTTACCTCTCACCCTCAACCTTACCCTCCCACAACACCACGCTCTTGATTTTCCAACAGTCGCCCTGCCGAATCGTCACCACCGCGATCATCACCGAACGATACCTTTGCCTATCAAGCGATCATCTTCGGCACCCGCACACGATTCTGCTTTTGCGATAGCATCCACCGCACCCTAGTCGCCGTCGCGCTGACGCACCCTCCGATACCTATGTGCAATCCACTCTGTGGGCTTTGAGCTAAAAACTCGGCGCGATGGATCCAAGACAGCCGCCACAGCTGCCCTTCTCGCGCAACGCTGCTTCGCAGTACAGCCGCTCACCGTTTCCTCCATCGTCGAACACGACAGCGACATCGACACCGAACCAGTCGCCATTCCCACCCGTCTCCCATCCGCCTGCGAATAATCCTCCATATGCCGAGCATCAGCGACGCTCCTCAGAAAATCCATACTACTCGTCGGGCCCCAGATCGTTCCCACAAGAGCCCAACTCGGGTCCTCCTCCTCCTTCGGGCCACTCTCGACACCCGAGTGCATCCTCATTACCTGGCGGCCCGCCGATGAATCGTAATATGCCTCCTCCGGGCTCTCCTCCTCAGCCCGGGAACCCACCTCCTCCAGGATCGCATCAGATGGGGCACTATGGCTTGCCTGTGCCAAGAGCTCCGCCTTTGAATGTTGGCCATCCAACTTCATTCCCGGGAGGACGCGAGCTACCTTCGCTACACTCAATACAAAGAACGGGGAGCACCGGTAGTTCAATGTCAATATCCTCCATGTTGGGCGGTCCTCCGGCAGCGCAAAGAGACTCGCAGCCACCGCCTTCGCATTTTCCTGCGCCTGCGACCTCGGCGCCTTCTGGGCCGACGTTCGCGCCGACGATGCAGGCTTCCCCGAGAATGCACTCTGCATCTTCCGACTACCAGCCTTTCAGAAGACCTCAGACACCAGACCATCAGCGCCCGTATGATCCGAGGGGTAGCGCTGCTGCATCACCACAGGGTGCGTATTCGACCACGCCCGAGATGCAGCGGTACGGCACGCCCCAACAGAGCTACCACCAGCGCGGCCCTTCAGCTCAAGATGGTAGAGAATCGAGCCGAATGCCCCAAGGTCCTCCGCCGAGGCCCACGAGCCAGCCAAAGTCGTTCCAGAACATACCGCCGAGGCCTGCTGATATGGGTCGAAATAATGGACCGGAAGAGATGTATCCGAGGCGGGAGGAGATATCTAGAGGCTCAATGGAGTACAACCCAGAGAGACCCGGTCTGAAGCCCATGACCTTTGATGACCGTTACCGCGCAGAAAGGGACCGCCGGGATGAAATCGAATTCAGGGAAAGAGAGCAGGCGAGGGAAAGAGAGCGCAGAGACAGAGCATATTCGGGCGGCGACGGCGGCCGAGGACCTCCTGTGCACCAGGGCGAATATCGGCCCCAGGAAGTTCAGAGAGGACAGCCTCCGTCATTTACTCGGCCCCCGGAGCAGCAACGTGAACAGGGCCCTTGGCCACCAAGACAGCAGCCGCCTTTCGATCAGTCCAGGGTACCGTACGATCCCGCTGGATTACATCCAAGGCATCACGAATACCCTCCGACCTCTGCGCCTGGCTACCCACCTCAGGCTCAGGGTCATCCCGCTCCAGCTCCTCAATTCCAGCAACAGCCACCTCCCAACGATCGGTATCCCCCTCCCAATCATGCTCAGCAGCCCCCTCCAGGCCAGCCTGGGCCACCAGGGCAGCCCGGTCAGCCTGGTCAATCGCACCTGCAGCTACAACAACCACAGCAGCAGCAGCAGCCTTTTGACTCCCCCGAGCGACGGATAAACCACCTACACCCCCAAGCGCAACCGCCTCCGCAACATCGCCGTCTTGTCGAGGAAGGCCCGCCTCCTCCATCAGTCGCATACAGTACGCCTCATGGCCCGCCGATGTACGACTCGCCTCGCAACCGACCTGCTGAAGAGCATCCAAACAATAATCAAAGAAATTTGTTGGCGGTGCAGGAGATTAATCGGAAAGGACGAGTGTCACCATTGCCTCAGGCTGTCCAAGGAGCGCAATCACGACAGCCAGGACCACCAGGACAACTTAGCATCAAGAGCGAGTTCGGTAAGATGTTCTCGGGAATAGGAAGCGGAGTCACCCTTACTGGCAGCCCTGTCAACACAGTAACTCCATCACCATACACAAACGCGAGTCTTGCAAGACGCGACGAAACAGACGGCCCAGCGCACGAGTCTGGACCAGACACAACAGCGCCCAAACCCAAGGGCAGGCGAAGAAAGTTGAAAGAAGATGACACTAAGGGTGACGAGGAGAGCACGGGACGACTGACGCCTGTTGGTCGAGCAAAGCGCCCGAAGACTCATCAACACCATCACCATCAGTACGTCCCGGTTCCCTCTGGTCTTTCTACAACGACTAACGACGACAGCCATCATCACCATCACCACCATGGTCATCATGCTGTCGATCACGCCAACGCCCCCACCCCTACTCCCAGTGGCGGCACGCCTTTCAAGAACGTCAAGGGAAGCACTCCCATCCCATCCCCGACAGGACTGGCGAAGGACTTACCGGCTGCTCATCACCACCATGCTCCTCGACCAGCGCATCAGCATACACACATGAAGGAGGCACCCGTAAAGCAGGCCGTGCAGAGCCCGACGAATGTTCTGCCTCCCAAGCCGAAGACGATTGTAACCTCAAAGGCGGTGGTCGAATCTGTTGCTCACTTGCCGCGAACTCATCTAGGCGATGTGCTCTATGAACCCAAGCTCAGCCCCGCGAGACAATTGCCAAATGTTCCATCAGGCCGCGGATTCTCCTCGACCCCCATGCCACTTCCATGGAATGTCATCAAGGACAAGGAGAACTGCACACTCACGGTGAAGGTACCCAAGGTGCACCTGACCTCGGCGGCGAGGGAAGAGATCACGGCTCGCAGAGCATTATGGGGCACAGACGTGTACACGGACGACTCAGATGTCGTTGCTGCCTGCATTCACGGCGGATGGATTCGGGGCGAATGGGCTGATGATGTGGACGTGGCAATGTTGGACCTCGATCGCGGTATCAATGCCCCCGAAAAAGAAGTTCCTGCAACGAAAAGACGCAGCAAGGAAAAGGACAAGGAGGAGAAGGCTCGGTTGGAGGCCAACTCGGCCACATACCTCGACAAGCCACCAAGGACAGGCCCCGTCACTGTGCCCGTCGATCGTGATATGCATGTGAGCCTCGTGGTCCTCCCACGACTGGATAAATACGGTAGCACTACCCGTTTCGGCATTCAGTCGCGAGAATTCGGCGGACGATACAACGGTCGACAGTCGGTCCATGACGGCATCAGCTACATGATTACGGGTATTCGTTGGGTCACGAATGGTGCCGGTACGCAAAACCGTCTCCGTGGCAAAGGCCGCCGAGAGCGAATGCGCAAGGCCATGGGAGAGATGCACTCGGCCAGCCGAGGCCTTAATGGGGCTGAGCTGGAGCGCGAGAAGCTTCGCCTGAGCAAGATTCGAGGCGAGATCGTCTCCGGCACCTGGTGGAAGAGGAACCAGGGTGCGCGCGCCCCTGGTGAATACAAGGAAGAAAGAGCGCCGAGCGATGGAGACAAGGAAAACAGAATCGACGGCGAGAATCCTCAAAGTGCGGCTCGCAAGGCGAACGGGGCCATCACCAATGGCGCTTCGGCGACCGATGACGACAAGATGGATATGGATAATGCTGTCGCCAAGGTCTCTGACGTTCCGGCTGCTTGAGATATCTATCACGGCTTGATCTGGAGACGAATAGCATATGAGCATTGGGCAGCGGATGACAAAGTTGGAGTAGTTTGTAGGAGTAGCGCTGGTTATAATACCCAATACTTTTTGAATACTTGAAGTAGTACGAAATCATGAGATGGTATCTTGATGTGATTATGGCGACTAGTTACTCTACACTGATGATACAACTGCGAGAGGTCTTCATTCAAGTCTTGTTGACAAGCAGACCCTGATGACATCTTGCCTCACTTTGCAAAGTGTCGAGAGTATTCGTCCTTGTCGAGATCAACTCTCTCTCTCTCTCTCTCTCTCTCTCTCTCTCTCTCTCTCTCTCTCTCTCTCTCTCTCTCCCTCAGAAGCGCCCCCAACTTCCAGAAGATGAGAATATCGTTCACGGGCATCTAGAAATCCGTCACGCGACCGTTGTAGCTCCAATCACCGCCAGACCCCCAACGAAGCGGCTCCCGCTTGGGCCCGCCGACCTCGCCGGTGCGCGGGTTGACGTCGCCCTCGAACTCTGCGGGGGCGCCGCGGACGTAGTTTGGGTGCATTGTGTCTTCGTCCGTTGCTGCGATTGTGGGGGTCGTTGTTGCGGTAGCCGTAGGTTCGGGCGCGGTTGCTGTTGTGGTCGCTGTTGTGGTAGTTTCGGTTGCGACGGTAGAGGAGGCGTCGGCAGGAGGTTCGGATTGCTCTTCGACGAGGTGTTGGAAGGCGCTGGAGACGGAGGCCTGGCGCTGGAGACGCTCGAACTCGGCTTGTTGGTCTGCTGGGAGGCGCGGGGGCGCGGGACCGCGGGAGAAGGCTGAGGTTGAGGAGAGGCGGGCTGGGATTGAGGGCTTTGAGAGGTTGAGGAGGGGGCGGAGGCGGAGGAGGCGAGACATTTTGGGTGTTTTGGTCGACTTGGGTTTTTATCCACTAGATTTGAATTGTGGGAGTTTGGGTTGGTGGAGGTGAGGTGTAGATTCGTCGTCGGTGGTAGTGGTGGTGATGTGAAGAGTGCGGGATTGGGGATGGACGATTTCGGGACGATGGCGAAAATGCTCGGTAAAAGAAAAATGTCACAATGTCATTGACGCGGGTTGGTCGGAGCGCAGTGCAGCGCAGCAGCGCGGGAGGCGTTTTTTGTTTGGACCCTTGCTGGCAGCTGCACCCTTGGGTTTCCCAATGGGCCATCCCATCCATGGCTTTGGGCTTCCGGTGGCGGAGGCGGATGGGGCCGAGGTTTGCCGTTGCGGAAGCTCAGAGGTGCCTGGACAGGTCTCGAGGTACCGGATGTATGACATAATGGTATGCCCGTGGGCGGGCTCTCAACTCTGTGGTCATGAAGTTTGAACCCTTATATCAACTTATGGTTTGATTCTACGATTCATCAGCAGCTCAAGAATCCAACTCATTTCCAGCTAGAGTTCCCTATCATTGTCACTAAGGTACTGCGGCCATTATCGTTAATTCGATCTGAGTAAAAGCCCTTCCTCTTACTAATTATCTATTGAGGTATATTCCTCCTATAATACATGTAGAGTACCGTTAAATTAGGTAGGTAGGGATGTGTTGATGTTAAGTGACGGTCGATGATTTTATTTCCACGGAACTTACCTGTCTTGCTTTCGGTACCTGCCTCAGATCGAACTTGCAGAAGACCCATTCGATGCTGGGCTTCCGTTTCCAAGCTCGAATTCTTACTCTTATGTACATCTTCCCAAAAGGAAAGTCTACTTGGTACGCGCGACAGGCCTAAGTACGAGATACGTGCCTGGCTGCTGGTCCCTCCGTCTGCGCCCGGGCACAAGAGCTATTCGCATCAGCCAGCCAAGCCGCCATATAAGCGAGCTCTTGATTTGCGCCTAGTTTTCAAGCCTGAGAGAAGTATCGTCTCAGAGGGATCAGTCGGGAGACAACTGCAGGCAGCATGTCTGGTCAAGGGACAGACTCGACGAGGCGAGTAACTGCTTCATCAGCCATCTCAGAAGGTCTCTGGTTTAATATTTACAGACCCCACCATCAATATAGACACCTTAAATTACCTTACCTTCTCCATCACCCCTCGACGTGTATTGCAAATAGAATACACCGAGACACATGAGATCTCACTTGTGACGAAGAGCTGTTTTGAAATTTGGGGATAGCTAAACAACTAGCCTAGAACAAGTCAATGGCATGTTTCTAAGTCTGACGGCCGATTATTGCGACGGGCAAGTGGGTTGACTGCGGGTGCTTGGGCAAAGAAAACTGAAAAGTGCCTTTCTCCGCCTTTATATTCAGAAACCCTTAGTTCGAGGGGTTGATACGTGATTCGCGATAGAGCCCTTTCCATCTGCCGCCCAACTCCCCCGTGACTCGACCAACATCGATGTTTCACGGCAGCTTATGTTCCCTTCGCCCTCGGTAGCGACCGTATCATAGCTCCCGGATCACGATCTTTCAACTCCTTCAACGGGCATTGATGGATATTCTCTGCCAAGGCCACCTGAACCCAAACTTCCAAGACGGCACTATATGCAATCTTTCACATGACTGGCGGGCTGGAGCTTTCAGGAACACCTTATTCTGGGAGGGACCGAAGATGGATGGCACTGATATGAAGCGCTCCAATCATATTCAGACATTCTCACGTCTGCGTCTCTGCCATCCCGACTCACCGGGAATCCCAAGCCCGACACGCGAGCTGATGACCACCCCCTGGTAAGCTTAAACCCACGACGGCAACCCCGGAGAATTAAGCTTCAACGTCCGTCGGCTCCAGGAACGCACCCGCATGGCGAAGTACAGCAGTTCACATGCAGCTCACGGGATCAGCTTTACGTGAGCACGTTTTCGTATGTTCTAGCTCGCTTCGATACCAGGTTTCTGAGAATGCCGATACAGTCACAGCAGGATCAGCCAGCCAGAATAGACTCGCATGTTCACATTCACAATCCTCAGTTCCATGATTACCATCATCCAAGGACCATGCCCGGCGCGTGGTCTCCATTGTGGGGTGTCCCCCGGACCCCCGCTCCGGCAGGGGCAACGTCCGCTAATCCCACCAATCCCCCACCTCCTCCGATATTGCGGTCTCGAATCTTGGCAGAATGGCTGGTTTCTCTTTCGCCGGGCAGACCGTGAACGGCAGGTCAACGGTCCACTTTGAAGACAACGCCGAGTCGTCTGGCTGTCTCTGTCCCTCCAGCATGTCCATACTATGAGAGGGTTTCCAAGAAGGATGAATCCGAAATTGGAGGGGAGGGCCGTAGCTCCTGGCGCGTCTGATCTGATGGGTTCGCTTACACGGAGAATGGCTGTCCCTACATGCGGCATGTACGATGGTCTCGGAAGATGACTTACACGGCGATGCCCTACCCCTCCCTTCACGCCTCCATGAACGACAACCTTCGACAATCGATATAAATCTCCCCATCCACTCCCTCCTTCATAAAGTCCTCCCACCGGCTCGTCCTCGAACCTCATCCTCCACAGAATAAGGACTCCAAGTCCACCCGCCATCACGCCCAAAATGCGTCTCCTCTCAACCCTAACCTCCCTCCTCGCACTCGCAACGGCACCCCTCGTCACAGCCTTCACAAACCCCATCCGCCGCCCCGGCGGCTCCGACCCGTTCCTAACCTACTCGGGCGACGGCTACTACTACCTCCTCTCCACGACCTGGTCCACCGTCGAAATCGCCCGCTCCACCACCATTGAGGGCCTCAAGACCGCCGCCAAGAAAGTCGTCTACTCCTCCGGCGACGCCTCGCGATGCTGCAACGTCTGGGCGCCCGAGGTCCATTGGTTGGGGAACCGGTGGTATATCTACTTCACGGCCGGCGGGAGCGCGAATTTGGATAATCAGAGGATGCATGTTCTGAGGGGTACGTCCACCTGACTCTACAAACCACCCTCTCTACCCTCTCTCTCCTTCTCGTTGCTAGCTCAGAGGGTATCACGAGAGCTCCGTCACTAACATACAACAGGCGGCACGACCCCCTGGGACGCCTACACCTACGTAGGCCGCATCGGCCCCGACGAATGGGCCATCGACGCCTCCGTCCTCCGCACCCCCTCCCTGGGCGAATACCTCGTCTTCTCCTGCTTCCACGGCGCAACCTATCAATCCATCTGCATCCAAAAGCTCAACACAGACTACGTCTCCACCAGCGGCTCCGTCGCCCTCATCTCCCAGCCCACGCAATCCTGGGAACGCGTCTCCCACCCCGTCAACGAAGGGCCCGCAGCGCTCTACTTTGGCGGGAAAACCTACCTCGCGTATTCGGCTTCGTACTGCTGGTCCGCGTCGTATTGTCTGGGCTTGTTGACCTGGGACGGGAGCAGGGCGCCGACGGACCCCGCGGCGTGGACGAAGGGGAATGGGTGCGTGTTGAGTAGTGGGAACGGGCATTATGGAACGGGGCATAATAGTTTCTTTGCGAGTCCGAAGGGGGACCAGACGTGGATTGCGTATCATGCTACTGCTAACAGTGCAGGCGCGTGCGATGATAGTCGGTATACTATGGTGCAGATGCTCGGGACGCATAGCAATGGGTCGCCTAACTTTGGGACGCCTGTTGCGTTTAGTTATGCCTATGGCGAGCCGTCCAAGTAAGTCTGGGATGAAGGGGTGGCGTGAGATGTTGGAGGGGGTGAGAGGTAGGGGGTTGACGACTGATGCTGTGGGTGAAGATATGATGGAATGAGACGATGGTTCGAACGAACGGATAAGGGGAAAGTATTTGAGAGTTGACGCTCGATTCTTGTAAATACTTTGTTGTTGAAATTGACGTACATAAAAATCGCCTTCATCTGGAAAATGATTATGATTTTGCGAGCCGATTGGCGATTTCCTACGAGAAAAAGTAAGGATGAAATAACGAGACGTCTCTAACCCAATATGACTCTATTACACCATGAGATCAAGGACATAGGATGAGATTCTTTGGGTTTGGTAGGAACTTGGGATCAAATACATGAGATCGGAATACTTGTGACCTGGCATACGTATGACTGACTATCGTGAACCTCGAGAGATTATGGCCAGGTGCCTTGTTTATGCCCACATTAGCCGCACGCAATCTCGAAGGCTTCACAGGAGTTTGATCAAGTTACATGCCGGTGGCAAGTGAATGGTATTAATTATTCTGGTCATCCTATTTCCAACTCGACTGCCGGGCATTAGCCTCGTGCATGGCACTACACTGCATTCAAAAATGCCTGCGGCTTGGGCCAGTTACTCTATACAGGGTATGCCATCATTACGTTCCTAATCTTCATATTCTACCTTACTTCCAGGTATCTTGTGTTCAAAACAATTACGCCGTCGCTTTTGGATGGTATCTTTTGGTAATGTCGGGTGCAGTCTTCTCGCCTAGACCAAGAATTGCTGATTCTGGAGGCCGTGTATCCTAAATCTGGCCATTGCCGACGAATTCCCGCTGTACTTCAATCTCCCCGCTGTCGGCGGTAAAGCGCCGCTCGAGAACCCATCTGGTCTCGCCACTCTCCTCTTCTTTAATATATGATATACTGTCCGCTGATCCCTTGTGCTTGTGACCCATGCCGGGCCCTCGCTGAGGTTGAGGCGTCGGGTCAATCCGGGGCACGAGGTTCGGATGCATGGCCGTGTCTGGGCTCTTCATCCACAAGCCAGAGTGGGAGATGGTGTTAGAAATTGATAACTCATCCATCTCGTCAGACTCTGGAACCGGGTCAAATGCCGCACTGTGTGTGAAGTGAGGAGAGTTCATCACCACCGCAGGACTTTGGTTCAGTGGCGGCAGAGGCGGAGGCGGTGACCCTAGAGTGGGCATGGACATGG